TCTTTTTGTTCTTCAACTCATTCTTGAAACACTATTTTACTAAATATTTGAATACTGATACGTGTTGTGAAGTGGTCTACGATTTTATCGACTGGAGTAAATCAGTGTGACATATATATTTTATTCATTTTTTTTACACTTCCTGCATTACAACTTGCACGAGGCGGACTTAATGCCGCATGGCATTATCTACCAGTCAACCTTAAGATGGTTCAGTAAGGGGCATGGCAGGTGCACATGTATTATATAAAAAGAGGAAACTATGAAAATATAACATTAATTTGAAAATACTATTTAAAACACAAAGCCAACTACATAAATAACTATTAATATATATTACGAGTATACATACGTAATTAAATAAATACAATAATGTCTGAGGTGACGAAATCATGAGGATATTTCTGCTAACTGTTTCCTGTAGAATTTTCGGACTTTAGCTTTGAACGCGTCACGACTTCCTGAGATCCTGATCTCAAGTGGGAGCGCATAGGATAGATTGGACAGCAAATGAAGAGTGAACAAGAGAAGAAGTGTGTATTGGACACAAGAGCAAAAGATTATTAGTGTACCGAAGATCTCTGTCATGGTTGGAGCATAGTGGTTTAAGCTCTAAAGTAAGATAAGTAGGAGCTGTAGGATTATTAAGAAGAGAATAAAGTGTAGTCAAGGCCCGCAAGCTACGGCGCTGACGTACAGGTAACCATGACAGCTCAGATCGATAGACACATTGTCATACCTGCGGAGGTTGAAGATGAATCGAATGCAATTATTGAGAAGACGATCAAGTTTGTTGAGTAGATCTGCATTCAGGTCGAGGTAGCATACATCACCAAATCGATAATTGGAAAGATCAAAGCCAGTACAAGCATTAATTTGGTAGTATGTGGAAGAAAGTTCTTTAGAAGATACAGTGATCGCAAGGTTCCAGTGACTTTTTTACTTACGTTCGCAACCTGTGGTTGCCAAGTGAGGCTGGAGTCATTCCATAAGCCAAGTCCTTTGACAAATGAACTGATCGGTATGTCGAATCCGTTGTAAACGATCGCCGGTAGTTTTGATGTGTCTAATCTGCTCATCATTCTGGGGCTACCTATGATTATGGACTGACACTTGGAAGGATTCACACTTGCACCGAACCGCTCGGAACAGTTTTAGATTGCCTCCAAATCACTGTTAATGTTATCGACTGCTTCTGCTAAATTATCGAGGCTGGTCTGTGAATAAATTTGAAGGTCATCCGCATACAAATGATACGCACACTGAAGACGAAGAGTAATGAGATGATAAACATCGAAAATAAGAGAGGTGATAATCCGCATTGATGATGCTTCATCAATGCGGACCGACTGCCGACGTCCACGAAGATAAGATGAAAACCATTCCAGTGCTTCGGTGGTGACATTATAGTGAGTGAGGATAGATAAAAGGATATCGTGGTGGTCAACCACGATATCCTTTAACGTGTTAAAGGCGTTGGAGAAGTCAATCAGGACCAAGACAGTCAATTTTGCGTCTTCCACCCCATTCATTTTAAGCATAGCTGTAACTGTGCTATGACCAAATCTGAATCCTGATTGGAATGAGGCTGAGGATATTGTTTTGACGGATAAACTTTGAGAGTTGTTTATGAACACACGCCTCTTGTACTTTGGATAGGAAAGGGAGAATTGATATGGGTCGGAAATGTCTCGGGAGGAAAGGATTAGGAATCTTTGGAAGTGGGCGAACGTATGCCCTGCACCATGCGGCCGATTATCCGGAGTAAAGGGAACATATCAATGTCTGACGAGTTATTGTGCATTTATGAATACCAAAACCTAATTTATCTTTGTTCTATTTGTTTTACTCAAAATTTTTAATAATTAATTTCCTCCGATCCTTTTTCCCAAACTAAGTTAGGATCGGCTTTAAGTCTACTAGAATACTGTTAAACTTCGATTTTTTACTACCAGCAAACCTCTATGGGCAAGTACTAGGCGATATCGAAGTTCTGTAGACAGACTGTTGTTGGACTTTTTAGGGCTCCCAATAACAATGTTCGTATAATAATAATACCAGAGGTCATTGTGTTGCCCCCAGTGCCTTTAGGACGGTCAAGCTGTCTGACAGTATTCGTATCGGATGTTATAGTCCAAAAACTCCTCGACATGGCCGTTGTGTCGGCGTAAGTTATTACCACACATTCGCATTGGAATATGGAACTGTGTTGGTCTAATGCTAGTGATATGTTCATGTTTGTCTTGTGAGAAAACTCCGGCCCCAATTCCTGACCCAGTCTTGGAACCATCCGTGTAGATTCGGTTTATGCCAGATTGATCTCGGTCATTCATCGGAAATCAATCCGAACCGAGATCAAAGATGAAAATCAGGAAAAAAGTTTTTTGTATTCCTGCAGTGTAAGTTCAAGATTCCGAATATAACATGTTATGAAATAATTAAATTAAAGTAAATGCGAATTTTCAATATGTGAATTCTTATGTCTTGTCATGTTAATTGCTAATGCTAAAATTATTTGCTAATATTGCAATTTCGTACAATGACAGCAAATGAAAAACGATCATAACTTGTAGGTATATCACTAAGTATTTATTTTACAAAAATAATTTATTTTTATTATATTTTAACTTACCGCGATTTTCGCGATCAAAAGTGGCTGCCATTTTAATTTCTACAACATACATAATGCTATGCAATTTGCTAACTGCTAATTAAGAAATTAAAATTAAATATGAGTGCGAAGACTTGCTTGAGTGCTTTTTTTCATTACTACTATATAGTATTTGTTAGTAAGATGTTTAATTATAGATTAGGTATAGGTAATTCGTGTACGTATTAATTCATAGGTTCACGAAATTTCACGACTACAATTAATTTGCTAACTTCTTCAACTTTCTTTACCAATTCTTTCCATCTGCCATCTTTACCAATTCTTTCCATCTGTTCGCGAACGGTTGTCGAGGACATGGCTTGAGGTGGATCACTGTGTCGCTCAATTTCTTACGGGTCATGGTAACTTTAAGAGCAAGCTGTATTCATTTAAATTAGTCGAGTCACCATTGTGTGAATGCTCAACACCTAACTCTCACTATGAACAGTCTGCTCATCATATCCTCTGGGAATGTAGTCTTTGGTATAATGAACGTAATATAATGCTGAATAGCTTACAGGTGACATCTGGGGCGGTATACTATGGGGATCTTGTGTCAACTAGGGTGAATTTCCGAGCGTTTAGGCGATTCTGCCATACATATTATAGAAATCAAATATAGCTCACCTAGAACCTAATTTCGTTGCGGGTTCCAAGACAGTTTAATTTCTTCCTGGGACTTCCCGAGTGTCATAACTCGGTGTGTTCGTGGGTCACTGCTGTGGATCCTGGTGTACAGGAGTTACAGTGGTGTGTGGGTGGAAGTAGTCCCTATAAAAAAAACTGCTAATTAAGAACTCACAATTAAAAATGAGTGTGAAGACTAATTATTCCATCACTAATTTTACCTTACTTCACACAGTCTGTTGTAGTGATGCGCAAAATGTATCACTGAGCTGAAAAGATTGATACATATCATTTCGCTCAAAATATATATATCACTCATCTAGCTCACTAGCTCATTTAGCTCACTAACTCATTTAGCTCACCAACTCATTTAGCTCACCAACTCATTTAGCTCACTAGGTCATTGATCCGATTCAATTGATTGGTCTCTCAATTAATTTATTTCTTCATCTAAGCCTTTAAGCCACTTTAAGCCTCTCTCGCCATACAAACCTTTCTTTATTTTCATATTGACCTAAATTTAGTTTTTGAAACTACATTCTTAACCTTTTTTTTTAAATAAAATTTATTCATTTTGATAAGATTACATAATTATTAACACCCTTTTATATAATATTTAAAAAATATATATATTTCTTGTACTTTTTTTTAGGTTGTATAATAGAAATCCTACATAATTTGATTTTCCTTGTACTTGGCAGGCTTAATTCTTAAGTAATATTAAACTTTGATACTATAGAAATAATGTACATTTTGCATAAAGAAACTTGCGTGAACTCAACCGTCATCTATCTCACTCATTTATCTTTAGTCTCACTCGCTCATGAAACAAAGATCGGCGTCGTTGAGCTAGTGATCTAATGATCTAGTGAGCTAGTACTGAGTTACTGATATATTCGGAGCTAGTGTGAGTGAGTAATACATTTTATCGTCGTGAATGATATATATCTTTTATATCACTCATTCAGCAGCTACACAACTCTAGTCTGTTGCATTTGAAGCAAAAGAGTCTCCACAGCTAAAAATCGTCTGAACCAATTTTTCTTTATCACATCAGTGTTACTGCGTGGTTATATTAAATTTCTAAAATTCAAAATGTGCTTTAACATGTTTTTTGTCCTATTGAGTGAGATGGCATAATGGAGAGGGCTTTAGAGGTCTTGTAATGGAATTACAGCGATTATTTCTTGTTTTTGTTCTTTAAGTTGCAGTGATATTAGAAACGATTTTTAGCTTTAATATTTCGAGTAGGTAACAGTTTCGAGTGTTGTCATCGTAGCTATTTATTTTTATAGTAAAAAAATATAGTCCTGTTTACTAAGAGCATAACAATGCACTATCTATGTAATTTTCAATTATTAAAGAGGTAATCCATATGATCGATGTAGTATACACGACACATTCCCCCTCAATTTTTCAAAATAATTAAAAGCTTATAACTCGATTCAACTTAAACAAAACTAGAGAGACTTACACTTAAATAAAACAAGAGAGATTTTAAACAGTCCTGATTCTGTACTGTGGATATTCTCTATTGCATTGCCATTTAAAAAAAAAATTAAGAGTTTTGAGGTTAGAAAGTTAGTTAAGATTTGACATGTGAATGTTGTAGACAACGGAGGTTATTATTGTATTATTGCTAAGGTTATATATATACAAGCTGGTTTTTTTCACATATTAATAACTGATATATCATTATTCTTTAAACGAAACATTTGTTGAAATGGTGTCCATTAAACAAAATATACCGCTCAAGAAAAAAAAAAACAATTCTAAAAGTAACTCCAAAGTTAAGAAACTCAAAAATGAGAAACCGAAGAAAGCTGAAGTTGCGAAACTTTCCAAACTTGAATCCGTCGTAAAAAACTTACAGCCAGTGAAACCAGAACACCTTGAAGTGAAAAAGAAGGTTTCCCAGAGAATAAAGGGAAAATATAAAATGCCTTCAAAGGCAATTTCTGAAGAACTTATAAACACGTGTCTAAACGCTCTACTTAACGTTATTGTGTCAGATGAGAAACAAAAGAATGCCCTATTTGATGACGAGAAGCCTATATTTGCCGAAATTCATTGCATCAAAATTCAAAACACTAGAGGCAATATAAAATTGTGAGTATTCACTTGTGTGTGTACACACTATTTACATTCTTCTTTTTAAATAGGTTTCATTAACATTTGGACTTTTTTCAGCCTTTTACCTCATAGCACAGTTCCTTCAACTGGTGAAATATGCTTAGTTACTCCAGACATAAAGAAAGGAAGAAAACATGATCATGAGCCTACAATTGACCGCTGGGAAGAAATTCTCAGAAAAGGTGGTGTAACACAGGTATGTAATTTTAACTGGCCCTCTTTGGAAATAAATGAACAATATTTATTATTAAATGTTAAATGTTTCAGGTAAAAACTATTCTACCAGTTAGACAGCTCCGAGTAGAATATGATCAATATGAATTAAAACGCAGATTGTTAACGCAGCATGACTTCATAATGGTAGACACAAGAGTGCTCAATCATGTTTCACATCTCTTGGGAAAAATGTTTTTTAAAAAACATAATATGCTTATACCTGTAAGACTAAACGAAACTCAGAATGTAAAAAAGTCTATTGACACAGGTCTACGCACTGCAATTATGCGTTTAGGTGAAGGGGAAACAGCAACTATCACTGTAGGACATACTGCTATGCCTCAGGAGAAAGTAAAAGATAATATATTAGCCTTGGTGCAACAACTACAGGCTAAGTACCCAGGTGGAGAAGCAAATGTGAGGGCTATATCAATTAAATTACCTCTATCAATATCATTACCATTGTATCTCACTTTGAGTAAGTATTAGATTCTCCTAATTAATTTAATTTAACTTACTCATAGCCAGTCATGTGACATGCAGCAACACATGAGTTTGCAGTGTGCTTGCATCTGGGTCATCACTTGATGTAGTATGCATAATATTTTATATGAGAAGCATAAAATGAGCTGTTGCATTATCGCAAATGTACTTTGAGGGCCACTAGGGTAAGAACTAAACGGGCAGCGAGCATGGGCACCAAACTCACAGCATTGTTGTATCATATCTGTTTATAAAAATGGGGCCACCATAAAAAAAAAAACAGTTTTGGTTGGGCAATGTATGTATTAACAAATATGTGAAACTAATGAGTAATAAAATAATTTCTTTACAGGACCATCAAACACGGTCAAACCACCAAAACTAAGTCAAAAGAGACCTAAACATTATACTGTGTTAGAAGATGAGTTATCTACAATGCCTGGTAGACAAGTCAGAGTAGCACCTGATGGCACTGTCCAATTAAAGAAACAAAAAAAGAACCCTAAAGTCAGGTAAACTACATGCATATTGTTTCTTTTAAAAGTACTTTCCTACTTAGGGATTTACAATAAAATGTAGTACCACCTATTAAAAGTTGTTTCTGTGATTAACATAGAATGCAATCTGAAAGTTAGTGACTTATTGTGAAAGAAATTGTTACTAGGGATTCCATTCAATATAATCATTCTGGAAGTTTCAAACATTACCATACACTTTGTACACTCAAATCTATAGGAAAATATTACCTTTCTCTAAAACTCAAGTGGCTATGCACTAAAATGGATATGATGATATTTAGAATATGTTGACAATCATAAATATCGATGGTTAAAGTCTCTCTGAAATTACTTACTTGCACAATTTATAAATTAGTGACTACGAATATCTATTATGTAAATTACTGTGTTATGTAAATTCGTTCAGATGGACCAATTTCGATGCAAATGTTTTGTTCGTTTTGTTGTTTGGCATACTATTACTTTGATGGTATTTCCAAGACATAGTAACCTGGAACATGTTACTGCATCAAGTAGTTGGTGGGATAGCCAACTCCTCAGAAAAATTTGTAGTCACTTTTACTTTATTATAGAACATATTGTTTAAAAATTTTGTCTTTCTGCACTTCTTCCACATATAAACACATTTGTTTGCAAATGAGTACAAAGAATTTTGCTTTAGATGTTAATATATAGATATGAAAATTTTAACATTTATATTATGGTACCTAAATTATATTAGTTAGGCACAGTATTATCTTTTTTTTTTGTTTACAGCAAAAAGGATGATATTGTAAGTGAAATAACAAAGGAAGAAGAAAATGATAATGAGGAATCGGATCAAGAAGATGAAGAATCAAATGCTTCAGATTAGCATATACATTTTTATTACCATTTATACATACTTGTAAAAAAAATTTAATTAAACATACAAAAAATATAACTTTTATTTATTACTGCTAGAATGCAACAGAATATGAGTTTGAATCTGTCAAATCACCAATGCTGATTGTAGGTGCAATTGATATCTGCTGTTTCCTTAATGGCCATACTTTCTTGAACTTCTTGAAATTCTTTACTGATATTGTTTCATTTGTTGACTCAATTTTAATTGGTTCTTTTTTGACAATTAAATTAGAACAGATTATAACAACAGTGTTGCCTAAATCAAGATTACTCATCTTTTCTTCAAGATCTTCACTTTTCTCTGCCTTCACACTATGTTCCTGTACAGTTGATGTATTGGTTGAATGACTTTTCATCAACTCTTTAAGCTTAATTCCTCTCATAGCTGATATATCTTCTGATGTGACAGCTACAATACTTTTAACATTGGATGCCTGCGTAATATCCCCTTTTTTAATCTTATTACAGGTAAAAATGCTCTGTTTAGATGACTCAGCATCATTTCTCTTATCATCATCTGTTTGAAGAAAGTTAAATAAATCTCCACTTTCATTAGAAGCACCTAATTTTCTCTTTTGAGGTCTTGATAAGTTAAGTTTTTTTGATTTATTTTCACCTTCGCTATTATTAGTAACTGGATTTATAAAATTAAACATATCATTAGACTTATCCTTATCCATAAGAATATCTTCTGATGAATTTGATGATCCTTGATCATTGTTCTCATTTTCTAGAGCCATTCTTTTAGCATTAACTGGTGATGTATCTCCAGAGAGTCTTCTTTTAGTAGTTTCATTTGGTATATTAGCTACGTAACAAGAAGTAGCAACTTTTTTATTGGGATTTACTTGAACATCACCCGTGAACTCACTCAGTTTCCTTTTAGTAGCAAGTTTCTCATTTGTATCCAAATTGTTTTTATCATCAGAAGCATATGTTTCATTTATCTTTAAATTCTCTTTCTCATGCTTAATATCCACCGTGGGCTCTTGAGACTCTAATGCCAATACTTTTGATGTCTTCGATAATACTCCAGGGTTTTGTTTCACCATTTCTGAAGTAAAACTGAAACTTGGATTACAGTACTTTTCAGTAGAGCAATACAATATTGCCAAACCAATCTCTGCATCAGCTATCACTCTTTTGCCTCTATTTTTTAACTGTATAACAATTTCATTTATTTGATTTCTCTGAGCTGCAGTTTCTTGAGTAGCTGCACTTGCTATAAACTGTATTACAACAATGTTTTCTTCGCACAGCATTGACACAGTCATCTTACATTCAGCTAAAAGTAATGGTGATGCTCCACTCCTACACAAAACTGGCTTATACATATCATATTGTCGTCTTGAAAAAAAAATGAACTTTTTGTCTTTAAATATAGATTTTCGTTGTACATCTGGTGAAAATGAAACAACCTCTTTGTTGAGAGTAGACTCTATTACAGCAGGTATAAATTTCTGGGGATCAGGTATAGCAGAGAATTTATTGACGCTTTCAAGTAAATTTTCCCAAAAGTCTGTGGTAACAATATGGGACCCTTGCACTAAAGCTAACACAACTTTAATTGTTAAAGTGATCACAGGCATAGTTAAATAATAACAGGAATCATCCCATTCATTCTTTAACAGTACTCCTAATTTTGATAATGTCAGTTTTAGTTTTTGGAGATTCTCTCCTTTTAAGGTCGATGTACATGTATTTAAATTTAAATTATTAACTTTCCATACACTATTCATCTTGCCAAACTTAATTATATCCTTCTCCTTCAACTGTATAGCGACGTTAACTTCAGCTTTATCTACAGAATCATTGACAAATGTCCCATATCTGGAGCCCAAGTCTTGTAAAATTACGGTGTTATTTCTTACAGATAAAGATGCATGTTTTCTGCTAATGGAAGGATCATCAGGAATCGCAAAGTGACACACTTGATTATCAATACTACGTCCTATTATAACTGGTTCAGCTTGAGAAATAATATAAATAACTCTATCATCATTTTCCGATGTTAAATACCACATAATTACTAATTTCGGCACAAACTCGATCTGCTTAATCAATCTCCCTCGCTTTGGCTTCCTTCTTGTTGATTATACGACCACTGCGACCACAGATAGCGCTGAAAACACATATTTTTAAAGAGTAAATGCTGAGTGTTGCACCATTCATGACATTGACTTGACAGTTGACAGTAACCTGTGTCACTAGATAAAATATCTATTACTTCGATCGACTTAATCTCACATCTCACACAGCATTTTTCTAAGTGATTTTAAATGATGAATATCGCCTAGTATCTTACTAGTAATATTATAAAAGCGAAAGTTTGTATGGATATTTGTTACTCTTTCACACAAAAACGGCTGAACAGATCTGGATAAAATCTGGATTGGTACAGTGATAAATTATAGTCTGGAATAGCACATAGGTTACTTTTTATCCCAAAAGAATGTAGTGTTCCCGTGGGATGAGCGAGATACAACAACCACCAGTACCGCGGGACGCAGTACCCCATAATCTCAAACGATAGATAGTGTCTTGCGTCTACAAAATCGTACCACTATTTGACATAAGATATAGACACCGAATTAAAGATTGGCAAAAGACCGAGTTTAAATCTTTCAGTGGGTTAAAGCCCATTTATTCCCTAACACAAGGTTTTTAATTCGGGCGTTTATTGGTTTTACTGTTTCAATAGTCGTAAATATTAATATCAATGAATAAACTACTGTGTACTCTTTTCTACTCTCATATCTATTTGTTTAATTCTTGTTACCGGAGACTAGGTCTCATCTTACTCGATAAAAAAACGTACAATATATTACTCGTTCTTGCATTTAAAGTTAAATGAATCTCAAGAAGATGCCGCCGCCAGGAGAAATAAGCGAAATATGACAGTATTCAAAAAAATGAAATGATACAGCTTCGTGATAAATATGTTTCAAAATACTGAAAGCAAGTGAGAACGGAGAATGTTTGTTTTTGCCAAACTTAGCAACACAAACAACACTCCATTCAGGTTTTTACAAATGTATAAATATACTCGATACCTCCACGTATCGAGTATATACAGGGTTACAAGAAAAGTCGTGCTAGATCCGTTAAGGGCGTGGAGTACCCATCATTTCTGACATATTTCACTATGAAACACCCTACCCTAAACTTAACCCTTTTCGAGATATTTGTCTTTTAATTTTTTATTGAAATTTGCTGATTTTTAGGCTACTACATTTATTTTTGTTTATTTTGTGTATCTTATTATTATTATTTTTGCATTTTTACATGTGTAATAAGATGCTTTAGGACGTCAGTCATTAAAATAGTTCATAAGTTAATTGAATAGATCGTAGTAGACAAGTGAAAGTAAAGAAATAAAAAAAAATATTAGAAAATTATTTTTCTCTAACGGATATCTAAAAACAATATTATGGTAATTGTTCGGCAGATGTTTTTTAAAATATCTACGTTTCATCAGCTATCTAACGAGGTATAACAATCTAGGGTTTGTATTACATTTCGTGGAAAAAAAGTAGTTGGGACGCTCCAGGTAACAGTTCTAACGGTCCCGCGCCTATTGTCCCTCAAGTTCAGACGCACCAAGCGAGCGAGACAAGTGACGATTTATGTAGGTGCGAATGAAAGAAAAAATGTGTAGAGACCGGTTAGGGCTGGGAATACAACAGGGGGCATTGTTTGGTTGTCACTAGTTGTCAGTCTGCTTTTGTGCTTCGTACATAGTAGATGTGATATCGTTTTGCTCTTTTTCTCGACTTGGCTGTGATTCTGGACTATTTCTTCTGATTTGTGACTACTGTGCTTGTTAACCGGACTCTGATTTGTACCTGTGATACGGAAGTGTTGAAGATGACGTCCTACACACCTGAGGAATATGCGGATATGCTTATTTGTTACGGATACTGCGATTGTGTGTCTGCGCAAGCTCGCAACGAATACATAACTCGCTACCCTGGTCGTCGAGTGCCGGATGTGGCCGTTTTTGACAGAGTTTATTGAAGACTTCGAGAAACTGGCTCTGTTTTGAGACGAAATACAGACATGGGAAGACCACGAATTAACGACGAAGAACAGGACAATGAGATAGTGCAACGCTTTCGAGCGGATCCGACTACTTCCACTAATATTGTTGCCCATGATCTGGGGCTTTCGCAATGGAGAGTGTGGTTTACAGTGCATACTGCTGGCCTATACCCGTACCATTACACGCCGGTACACGTTATTGAAGAAGGAGACCCCGCGAGAAGATTGGACTTTTGCAGATTTATGCTAAATGCTGACGTAGAAGACCCAGATTTTCTAAGAAATATCTTGTGGACGGATGAGTCCAAATTTGATAAAGATGGCATAACTAACTATCACAACGCCCATTACTGGGCCCCAAAAGAACTAAGGAATCCCAATAAGAAAAGAGTGAAGGGGTCCCAACGAAGATTCAGCGTGTGTGGATGGGCATTATCTCCAATCATTTGATTGGACCTTACTTTCTCCCGGATAATCTAAATGGAGAAAGCTACGAAAATTTCCTGAGAGCAGACTTGAGTGATTTGCTGGATGATCTGTCACTCAACCTGATCAGGGACATGTGGTTCCAACACGATGGCTGCCCTGCCCATTTCAGGAGAAGTGTCAGGGACAGGCTGGACACAAATTATCCAAACAAATGGATAGGACGAGGTGGGCCGTTGCCATAGCCAGCAAGAAGTCCGGACCTAACCCCCATGGATTTTCATGTGTGGGGGTGCATGAAAAGTCTTGTGTACAGCGAGCCGAATCCAGTTTCATCTGTGGAAGACTTACGAGAAAGGATTGTGGATGCAGCAAATAAAATGAGGACCACGTTGACCACTGGAGTAGTGAAGACTGGTCTCCGTAGAAGGATGCGACAATGTATCAGAAATAGAGGCGGCCATGTTGAACATGAACTGTAGAATAAGAAAAAGTTGTGTGAAAACCTTTAATAAATGACATTTCATGCTTAACTATTGTTTTATTTTACTTTTTTGGGCTAAGTATAAATTTTCTTCTCCATTGTCGCCTATGAAACTAAAGTTTTTTCAATGCATTTGAATAAAACCTTAGATTATTATACCTCGTTAGATAGCTGATGAAACGTAGATATTTTAAAAAACATCTGCCGAACAATTACCATAACATTGTTTTTAGATATCCGTTAGAGAAAAATATTTTTCTAATATTTTTTTTATTTCTTTACTTTCACTTGTCTACTACGATCTATTCAATTAACTTAAGAACTATTTTAATGACTGACGTCCTTAAGCATCTTATTACACATGTAAAAATGCAAAAATAATAATAATAAGATACACAAAATAAACAAAAATAAATGTAGTAGCCTAAAAATCAGCAAATTTCAATAAAAAAATTAAAAGACGATTATCTCGAAAAGGGTTAAGTTTAGGGTAGGGTGTTTCATAGTGAAATATGTCAGAAATGATGGGTACTCCACGCCCTTAACGGATCTAGCACGACTTTTCTTGTAACCCTGTATATTATATTTGCGTATCCCTATCAGTGAGACAAATCCTCCGGGAAGATCACCGGTTATAATTGACGTTAATAGTGAGGTCGACGCATCATCTAAATGTATAGCAACAACACGAGAATATGAATTAGAATTCGCCGTTTGTGACAATTCTAAGAGTGACTGATTTACATATTGTATGCTCATTTTGTACATAAATAAAAAAAATATTTTGTAAAACCAATAAAAGTGTTTATTTGCAGTTTTTAGGCTGTAAATAGTAAGCACCCACCATTTGGATTTTTATTTGCGTTTCTGCCCAAAAAATACACGTTTAAACCGGGTTTAAGCCCTCTGCAGGGATATCCCCTTTGCCCCTTATGCACTGTACCACGTCTTTGGTAGTAACCGTAGGACCAACGCAATCTATAACTTTCTATACAAAAAGTGAGTGCGACAAGACAAAAACTTATTAGATTTTGTTGGGAAGCGGGAATGTCGAATAACGTAATTAAATGTTTGATGTAGTATAACAGCTAGTTATTATCTTATTATTGAAAACATTGTACATTTGTATTTTTAATTATTTATTTAATGAATACTTGCTCACATTTTAACTTGCTTTGTACTAGTAACCGTGAAAGATCCAGACCTCGCTTACAGTGCTCAATGACCGAAGTTTTTCATTAATTTTTATTTTATCCATTTCAGGGCCACTTACAAGTTTTCATCTATAGCTGTAGAATAAATAATGTAAGTACATAAAATTAGAACCTAAGAAATAAACTGTATGATTTTGGCGAAATAGCCAAAATATTCAGTTTTTGATACAGGAACATTTTGGGTCGAATAAATATAAATGATTTCGATGGCTCAATAAAATATATTGTCTTTATAAAGTCTGAACAGACAATGTCGTGGTTAATAATTTATAAGTATAAAAGTAAAGCCAGCTATTTCGCATAGATATATATCGCGCAAAAGAACATACTACAGTCTCAATTAAAGAACATGCCACGTGTGCTCATTCCACTTGGGAATTAGCAGGTAATAGTATCGACTCCCATAGTAGCCAACTTTTTCGATTGAAAAGTGTAAAGAGGAACTCACTGACGTTAGGCCCCTCCTATAAGATTAGTTTCGAATTTAGAAACTTGTTCTAATACTAAGCTAGGATTCGTATGGTCCAAATAATAATTTACTGACACTGTTCTGTGTCATAGAATCGGTAAATAATAAAGCCTTGATATATCCATCTTGCGTTTAGTGAATTCTTTGCTCTCTAAAGATTGCTTCCTATAATGTGCAACACTCACAAAATTATGTCGGTTGCATGTTTTTTTTATGATAGAGGAGGCAGGCGAGCAGACGGATAACCAGATGTAAAGTAACCATCGCCGCCCATGAACGTCTGCAACTCAGGAGTCACAAACGCGCATCCGTATATGGTGATTGCTGAACTTCTTTGAATGGAGAGGTCCATAACGATTCTACTTTCTAGAACAAATATGAGACTGATTGATGTTTATAAGTTAATAAACTGGATGGGAAAAAAAGTTGTTTTCGGTGACATTATTCTTGAAAAATTAAAAAATGAAGCAAAAGGCTTATTGCTGTCACTGGGATACCATTTAAAAAAAAGAAAAGTACATCTCCATGGCAACCAGGAGGTGTCATAACAATAATGTTTCTGCGTTATGCTGTGATAATTGGCTCTGTATAATGTACAAAAAGTACTCTGAGACTATGTGAATGCAATAAATAGCTAGTAGTGGTAGCTTTATTGAAAGCCTGGGCACGACACTATAAAGTTTAATTTTTATTTATATCGTAAGCCGTACTTTTAGGAATGACGTTGTATATAGATACAAAGCTTAGTTTTTCTGATGAGAATGTAGTATGTACGGTAGGTTCTTGGCATCCTTCTTTACCACTTTTAGCTGTGGGATCATACAGCCAAGAAAAAGGAGGGTTTGTCACAATATTCCAAGAAACAGTGAGTTCTGATGATTCCTTTAAAAGATTTTAATCTCTATGTATATGCTTACTGGTCAAACAAAAGTCTTTTGGTTTTTAGGGCTTACCTTTGGAAGAATGCGAATGGCCAATATTATTAGCAAATCAAGTAACAGCCCTTACATGGCATCCAACAAGACGATTGTTAGTTGTTGGCTGGGATGGAGGAGAACTCTATATTTGGCTTGAGTATTCATGGGCTCGTCTAGAAGCCCCACACAATGCTGCTTTGACTACTATCGCTTTTAGCTTAGGAGGGGGCAGGTTACTGGCTTCAGATGCTGCAGGTTCATTGTCTGGCTGGCAGTCAGGTTCTGGTGCTCCCTTAACTTCATTTCACCACCAACTTGGTGATGTAATCACCCACATAACATTTTGTACTCCTCGTCCAAGTTCTGAAACATCAATTCGTGGTTTAGCTCGAGCAGCAGTTGCTGGAGATGAGAATGCTTTAGATGCTCTTGCTGCTTGGAGGCCTCGAACCACAGCCCGAATGAGAGAAGGTGCCCAACCAGATAATCATTCTTGTTATGCAGCTCAAGATAATGGAGTCATATTATATATAGATATAAATGGAGCTTGTTCTGAGGTTCTAAATGCACCTGGGACTATAATATTCATGGGTATCATAAGCAACATCTATCTTTTAGTTGCATGGGAGTCTGGTGGAGCATTGAGTTTGACAAGATTTATCATATCTGATGATGGTTCCCTGATGACAGACACACATGTAAGGATGACTGCAAGAAATGGGCAATGTATTGAACTTGCAGGAAATTTTTATGTGGCTGTTATCACTGGAGACAATATAATTAGAATTTGGGACAGTGATACAGGTGACAATGATGTGTTACCAAATGAAAAAGAAGATATAGTTGCAGGAGATATATTCACAAGTATCAGTTATAGCACCTTAAGTGATACTCTTTGTTGTGGAACATCACAGGGCAATCTGTATCTATGGAGACGAGATCATAGGAATTATTGGAAACTTATAAGCAGTACTTCCGTTAAGGGTACTGTTAAAGAAGTTAGCTGGGGATCTGAAGGCTTAATGAATCCATTGCTGAATGTGAATTGTATAACCAGTGCATATATTCTTAGAGAACAACCTGTGTGCTGGGGATATTCACCTAATATACATATGGTACAAAAATCTGCTAATGAAATTGCTCTTACACATAAAAGTGATGTAACAACATTGATAAATACATCAATCACAGTGAGAGCATTTGCTTTCAAGGATCAATATATTGCATTAGGAGATGGTAAAGAAGTACAGGTGAATATGGTTCTTTATACTCTTTTAATTTTATTTTTCTTTTTTAGTGTAATAGCAAATGATAGAAAAGGATTGCAGATATAACACATATTCTTTCATATTCTTTCTGCTGAACAGTCGAAAACATGTTTCTTCCTGATTTTCATACTCTTTTTATTATACTTCATAGTATTTCTAGAATCTAGAAGCACAGCAGTGCACCTGCCAAGTTGATCAAAAAATGAACAATCACAGCTTCAAAATTTAAGATTTTGTATTGAATATTTAATGATGCCATTGTATCTATCTGTAAATTGCAAAAGAGTGGACATGAGTTTATTTGCTTTTTCTTCTCATAAGGCTCAACCCCTTTTAAACGGGTGGTTGTAGATCGGCACAGGCATATCATAGATTTGTAAAGTTTAATTTTTGTTAAGTTTATTTTGCTTACGATTTGACAAAACAGAGATTGTTGCTATTCACACAATAGCAACAATCACTGTTTTGTCAAATCGTACTTTAGAGTCTACATAAAAGATGATTTCAAACAATTGTAATTTTTTTTATGAAGAAAGTTTGGATTAAAAAAAAAGAACTAATTAGATTAAAATGTTCTTCATGTTTATTTCGAAATTTAAATAAATCTTTAGGGTAGCAACAAGTTCAAGAATTAGCAACCCTGCAAGGTGTTTTGTGTGAGAGCTGGACACCCTATTCTACAAAAACACTGATATTATATTTGAGATTACTCTTTTAGACAGTCAAACAGACGGTAATTCTCTAATTTTAGTCGTGTTATTATTATGCGTAAGTACGCACTAATGTACGTAATGCTATAGGAGAAGTTCTCTAATGCTATTACAGAACTGCCACAATATTAAGTTTGTCAACACTGACTAACACAATTTATATTTATTAAAATCAAGATCATGTTAGTGATCAAATTGCATATTATAGAATTAAAATGACTGTTAATTATTATTTACAGATTTGGATGTGCAGTAAAGACAATGAAATGAAATTCTCTTTAATACGTTCTTTTTCATGGAAAACAGATGTTCTGATCATTTATAACGATGTTTTAGTTGGTGTAGTCAATCCTCATATAGAGTGTTATTCCGTATCTGGTAATAGTCTAGGAATACTGCCCAGTACTGAAGGGGAGGGTGAACCTATTGGTGTAACTAATACCAACAAGTTCATAGTTATAGCAACTATGGATGGTACCTTGAAATTAGCTGAAATCACAAAGAAAGGGCTTAAGATGCCATACCCTCCCAAAAATTGTTATCAAATGATCGAGGACTTTGGTGAAGTCATGAGAGCGTCAGTTAATTGTACCGGACGTTACATATGCCTTAGTATTGCTAATGCGGGTTTGGCACCTGATCCAAGACTGTATCTTTGGGACGTTGCTAATGATGTCATCACAAATACGCTCATTTCTGATAATGCTACACCTCCGTACCAAAGTGTTCCAATCGCAATAATATGGGACTGTAATGACCCAAGAATAGTGGCCGTACATATGAGGTCGGCAGAACTAGACCGCATACATCTATTTCTTTGCCACGAAGGTGCTCTTTACGAATATAAAAATTGGTGTTCGTCCACTGAAATTTATTTCATGACAGATTTTATGCTATGTTCCTTGCAAACACCTCATGTAGTTATTTTATCGCAACAAAATATTAAAAAGATTTTAATGCACGAATTTGAAGACATGACTGAAAATGACTCTGTTACTGTGAAACAGGTAATCGATTTCCTTTACTATATGACAATTGGCTATTTGGAAAAGGCTGTTGTTGTTGGCACTAGTTTATCAGGAAACAAAAACTCTGTGATTTGGGACAGCTTAGCTAAAGTATGTGTTACACGAAAGCGGCCTGATGTTGGGGCTGTGTGTTTAGGTAAAATGGGTAACATAAAGGGAGCATTAATGATGCGTCAAGTTATGAGTGACACCCAAATGGATGACACTTGCAAGGTGGCTGTGCTTGCAGTCAATTTAGGTATGATAGAAGAATCGGAACAATTATTTCGGGAAGCTCAAAGACCAGATCTGATAACGCGGTTAATATCAGCAAAAGAAGGTGGTCTTAGTGAGATAACAAACGGAAGTCACGAAGGCGAAAATATATTGTTGATAAAAAGCGCCCAACACAAATTGGCTAAGATGTCGTGGTCTAATGGAGAAACTAGTGCGGCTTTAAAATTGTTTGAAAGTGCCGGTACACTTGTGCCGCATGTGCCGAGAATGCTGGTAGCCCAAGGGCAGTCGCATGTATTGGCACAATATGCTTCAAATTCTAATGACAGTAGTTTAATAACGTGGTGGGGACACTACTTAGAAAGTATTGGCGATCTTGATAGTGCCTTAGAGTCCTATGCCCGTGCGAATAATTATGGAGAACAAACTCGACTACTATGTCACATGGACCGGATAGAAGAAGCTGAGAAAATTTGTGATAAGAATCGTTCGTCTTTATACCAAATGGCGAGGTATTTGGAAATGCAACCAAATAAGACTGAAAGTGCAGTAAAAGTAAGTGGCTCATTTAGTAGAATTAATATATGACTAGGGGAAAGGGAACATATTCCTTTGAATATTCAATTGGAATAGCGAGCACGTTTTTGCATCAATTACAATGTCAACAGCAGTTATAATATGTATTTGATGTTAATTAAAATATTAACTTGACTTGAATAATAAAGTGATCCTATTTGGTTTTTTTTCCTTTTCAGGAAGTGAACTAAAAATAGCCTTTCTTGCCTCTAACCCAAATGATACATACCTTAAATGATTAAATAAGATAAACCTTAAATGATTGTTACTTGCTATTTTAATTTTTACGGATGTAATGTTATGGATGTCTCAACATCCATAATATTATATGTGAATATCATTTGGATTAATACAGAATAAAAATTACTACCATTAAAAACATAATAAAAAAAGTTGGTACTAGAACAAAAACTACTAAACAAGACAACAACAATACAAAAACTTCTGATACTTACCCCATTGAATTTAATGATATGTTGGAAAACTGATCTCACAGATATAGTATCTCACAGGTCAGATTTTGGTTGACTCAGAAATAAATGTCAATTTATTCACAGATGTACATAAAATGCGGAGCAGTATCATCTGCTATCCGAGTAGCCTCAGAAGCTAGCGCGTGGAACCTTGTTTGGCGAGCAGGCTCTACGTCACCGACCCATGCTTTGCATGCAGCCAGTATACTTGAGAATGCTGGACAAACTGAACAAGCTATCGCTTTGTATCAAAAAGCAGGTTAGGAAAAACAATGTCCAATGCTTGCTTGACATTTGATACCCATTTAACAATATTATAAATTAACATTTATCTTCTTTTCCAACTCGGTTTTCAGGAAAAGTTCACCTGGCTTTAAAATTAGCCGTGAGCAGCGGTGACACAAATGCAATAGTTGCAGCAGTAGAAGCACTCGGTGATCGAGTAGACCCTGAGTTAGCAAATACACTTGCTGCTCACCTACGACAAGCAAACCAACACTCACATGCTGCAGCCCTATTAGCTACGGCTGGGAAGGTAAATATCTAAGGGTAACATGTCACAACATGGTTACTATGAACTGCAAAGTAAATTTAATGTGTATGTATGTAAGTAAAAACTAAAAATTAAAACCAAATTCTTTTTTGGTACCTACAATATTGTTTTTTACAGTATGAGGAAGCTTTAGATATAGTTGAACAACTACCCACACCATTAACAGAAGAGTTGAGCGAGAGATTGGCAGCCCCGGCCGGTACGACTGGTCGCGATGCCCTTTTGAGAAGATTGGCCGATGTCCTTGGTGCAAGGGGACTTTACCATCAAGCTGCAAAACGACTCGCGCATGCTGGAGACAAGGTATTTAATGGGTCCCTAAATCTAAACTGATTTTAAGCTGTTAATAAAAAAACTGGTTTGTGTACGCTTCAAAAACTCAAAAATTCTTCGTGTATGCTTCAAAAACTCGCTTCAAAAATTGAACTCAAATTTTGGCACACGTTTTATGAGTACAAACCTCTTCAAAGATTGCTTTTATCTATTTTTCGCGTCAGTTTTGTTCTACATTCCTCATCAATGCAACCACAATGTCCCACAACGAAGCGTGCCAGGGTATTCTTAGGAACACATTAAATATATGAAGATGAATGATACCAACTATGACTACTTGTTATTTTCAATATTTGTGATCAATAAACTGAGAAGAAACCAAAGGATATTCTAAATAAATTAGTTATAAATAAATTGTTCTTGTATTTAAAGGCAGGAGCAATGCGTTGGCTAATGCGGTCGGGTGACGCCGACCGCATCGCAACTTTTGCCGCGGCAACCCGAGACCGAAATGCTCAACTTATGGCCGCCGACTACCTGCGTAGACGAGCCGATTGGCGCACTCGACCAGATTTAATGAGACATATATTACACTTCTACACCAGAGCTAAGGCCTATGGGAAACTTGCTGGCTTTTATGCTGAATGTGCAAAAATGGAAATTGATGAATATGAAGTAAGTTATTTATAACATTTGTAAATTTTGTCAAAGATAAATAATATTATTAAATATTAATAGTTAAATTGATATGAAACATATACGTACACTTCCGTACATGCTATGTTAAAGCTACTGAAAGAAGTAGGGTAAAAGGTACTTTTGAACTGCCTAAGGTTCCAACCAGATTAAGCTGACAGTAGCAGATTAACCGACACACCGACCTACGTCATCAGCATGTAAGAAAAAATTATCTGTATCCACCTATAGTCTCAATTATTTCATTAAATTTGTATCATGAAATATATAAGTGGATATGCTGTTTTGGTATAAGGCACGACATTTTTGGGAACCCAAAACAGAAAATGCGAATGTCCATCCTTTGGCAATAGCTGATCAAAAGCTGCCTGAAACTAAAGAAATATGTATCTATGAGTTTACAAAAAAATTGATAAATACCACTGCTGTATACCGTAACACCAAGAATTCTAGTCTTATTTCTATTACAGAATTACGACAAAGCCTTAGAAGCACTCAAAGAAGCAATAAAATCTTTAGGAAAGTCTTTGGATACTGGCACAGACACTGGTAATGTAATTAATAAGAAAATGTATACTTATTCCTCTTTATCGTAACTATGTTGTGTATCGTAACAATTTTTACCTTCTCATACAACTTAAAAGGTTGTAGTCTTCAGGCAACTAGTGTGATCAGGGACCTGGGCGTTTTACACGACGGTAAATTGCTGTTTTTTCGGCACATCGAACATATTATTGACAAAGCTTACAAAGCACTTGGTTTGATAATTCACATGTCCAGACCTTTTAAACATATGAAAACAATAAAAATTCTTTACTGTGCCTATGTACGCAGCCATCTCGAGTTTTCAAGTCAAATTTGGAATCCATGTTATAATGTCTATATGTCTATGTTTCCCTCCGTAGAAAAATAGCTTATATCTGTCTCTTAAATATAGCTCAAAGCAGGTTAGACTGTCCTGATATCCTTTGCGATATTAAACTTAATGTGCCCACCAGAAATTTGTAGTCTACTTCATGTTCCCACAATAATTATCGGTATAATAGCTATACCAAAGGTTTCTAGATCTTTCAATAGACTAAACCACAATAAACTCGTCGATCTATTCTGCAGTGGCACCCGAAATCTCAAAAATGTCATATATTTAGAACCTAAATTGTTGTAACTATCCATGTATGTGTAAGTCTATTTAGTATGTATTATTATAGATACCAGAACTGTCTTCTTTCTACATGTGGAAGCTTGTAAATGGCATCTAGATAATTAACATCATATGTATTTTGTAAATTTAGCCGTAAGCTCCCCAAATATAATAAAATATAATAAAAATAAAAATGTATACTTAAATAGGTGGTTATGTTTAGGTGCTCAAACAACAGCTCTACAAGAACAAAGTGCACTTGTCAAACGGTTTGTAGATGTGAAGAAATTGTTAGAATCTGGAGAAATTAATCCAGGTGAGATACATATTATTGCAATAACGCTAATTAAGAATATACAACAATTTAGTTTTGTATTGATGTTAAACTAAAACTACCTTATTTTACTTCTAGGTATCATCGCTGGACAACAACTTCTTCGAGCCGTGACTGGGCGTCCTGGATTGATTTCTGAAGAAAAACTACTTCGGTTACTGCTACAGTACGCGCCTAATCACGCTGAAGCACCTCGTAAGAAATACTTAAGATATATTATATATCCCTGTAGTTTAATCTGTCATTTGTTAGCAGCAAGCAAGGCCCACTCAGCATGAAGGTATGAAGCTACAAATACTTGTTGCGCTAAATTCAGTACCTATGCTACCCTCGCGCCGAGTCGTATGACCGAGTCGTACGTTTGGACACACGTGATAAGTAATTAGCACTGCCTGAATTTTACTATAAAAGGAGGGAGATGTAAGTCTTTCTGTATATGTACTGTTAACTTTCTTGTCTATCTACGGTAATACATAATAATATACGGGCTATAATGGTTTTCCTACCCAAAATTCATAGGTAAATCCTTGTATTAGTTATTTACACATAATGTACCTACCTATAAATTATAGCACAATGCTTACAGGATTCGAACAGCAACTTAATGCATTACAAAAGCAACCTGAAGATGGAAGTCAAAGTCCTGAATCTGGTGAGCAGAGTATTGAAGAAATTGTGTAATTAAAAAGTAGAGTTATCTATATAATTATTCCATCCATACCATGACTTCATGCCGTCCTTTATACAGTGACTTATAAGTAATTAAAATTTCCACCTGGAAAGTTGTTTGTTTTTACAATTTTGTTTTATGTTTCTCCAAAAAAAAATTAAGCTGAAATTTATGTTTCTCAATTTTCTTTTTACCTTGCCACTTTTTACTTTTTCTGCCGTAGTGGTCTAGTGATCTTAAAAGTAGCAGTTAAATTGCGAAGAGTGAGTTACCTAAAAGTTGTTGATCATACAAGACATGTTTACTGTTAATTAGCATTACGCTAGCAAGACAGTTTGTGAATGTCTTGTGCATCCAGAGCTCTAAATCTGATAAAATTTGCTTCCTACTAATTCAGGCGTCAGCCCTCTGCGAACAACAGCACCAGTGGAAGCTTGCTCGAGCTCATACAAAACTAGGACAAAGTTTGGAAAGTGCTGTCAAAGCGAAGTGATCGAGAAACGGTATTTTTTTGTTAGTAGCTTGCAAATCAGTGTCTTCTTGGGTTAAAATTGGTAACTCGATTACGACGACTTCAAGCCAAATCATTTTCTAAGAAACTTAACGTAATTATATACATTATTGAATTAAAATATCTATATGTCAAGTTGGGTTGTGTACGCTTCAGAAACTCAAAAAAGTTCTTCACCGATTGAGCTCTTCCACACGTTATACAACACGCTTCAAGGATGGTTTTTATCTATTATTTTTCAACCTCAATGTACCGCAGTAAAGCGTGACAGGGTAAGTAAGTATATAAAATTTATAAGTTGGTTTGTGTACGCTTCAAAAACTTAAAAAGTCCTGCATAGGTTGAACTGACTTTTAACCCCAAATACAAACCGCTTCAAAGATTGTTTTAGCTATATTTTCGCGTCGGTTTTGTTCCTTATTTCTTATCAACCACAATCTCCACAACGAAGCGTGGCAGGGTACAGCTGGTATATTATTATTACTATAATCAGATAGTCTTTTAAATTTATATTCTAATATTGACAGGAATCTATCTGTAAATATAAAACTGAATCTCCTAGATTTCAATATGTATGTTCTGTGAGTTCCTTGTGGTGACGGATTAAGAATACAGACTGTCACCACCCCTATTCATCTCGTGGGTGTCGTAAGAGCCGACTAAGGGAGAAACTACGCTGAACAACAGCACTGCATAGAGAAGGAAAACTTGACACAAACCCTATGCCAACCCGTCTGGCCAGCGTGGTATAGTAAGGCCAAAACCTCCTTTCTAAGGAAAGGCTTATGTCCAGCAGTGGACTATTAAAGGCTGTTGATGATGATTATGATGTTCTGTGAAACTGAACGTTATTTAAGTGGATCATCAGTTTTCTGACTAGATAACTCACTGACTGACTATAGAAGTAAGGCCAGTTTAAAACCAATTAAACTAAACCGTTTAAAACAAACAAAAAAAAACGTTTAAAACCAAAATAAACCATTTTTTTTCGATTCAAAACAGTTGGTGTTGATTACTATGTTTGTCTTAATTATAACATTTTCTTGATTTTACCGAGGTAGGGATATAACGGAGTACCTATAAACTGTGCAAAAGATTCTTTATATGTGTGATATACTGATATTGATATACTTAGCGGGTTTAGTTCTAGTTGATCCGTCGTGTAGGAATTACCTACCTAAGTTATAAAAACTCTATTGACGAGTAAAAAACTCTGTGTTGGTAAATAATATTTTTTTTCATTGTTTTCAAACGACATAAATAATCAATTTGATTCGTTTTAAAACCAAACTCACACTCTCGCACTCTCGTTGATGTCGTCACTTGCGTCGGCGTTGAAGACATAACGTTGTCTCTTTCATGCGCATGTAAAACGGACAGCATTTTGTTAATGATGTCTTCTAATCTAGTAAGTGTAATATATTATAATAAAATAAATAAGTATAGGTAGGTATACCTACATACTTAAGTTTTCGTGTAGTAGGTAATGTAGGTAGGTACTTTCTACTGATTTTCTACAAACTATAAATAATTAAAACGAAACATGACGTCAGGTGAACAAAAATTGCCCACACTGAAGTGTAAAACACAGTTCTTTTAATTTTGTAGGTGAGTTTGAAACCGTTTAAAATGATTTATTTGGAGTTTAACCGGCAACATTTTATTTAAAACGTTTTAAATCCGTTGTTTTACATCTATACCACTGACTATACTTATCTGTCATCATCAGCTGGTTGTCAATAATAATGACAGTATAACAATACTATAACCTGAAAATCTGCCAATGTATAATTTGATACTATATCATTTTTAAAAATGAGTAAATAATAAATCAAATAACTAGAATGTTTCCCTTTCAATATAGTGTAAGGAATCTTTTCCTGAAGAAATGTAGAGCACTGCCAAGGTATCGGTATAAGCGAAATCGCTTCATACAAAAATGTACGTCTGGAAATAATAAAAAATCGAACTTTTTATATACTATTCCAGCAGTTTAACAAGGCGATTTAGCAGTTCTGATTCATGTAACGAAAGGATAGAAGTGAGCAGAATTAGAAATTTTAGTATAGTAGCGCATGTGGATCATGGTAAAAGTACTTTAGCTGATAGATTGTTGGAGCTAACTGGCACGATTAAACCAGGTACCGAGCACGCTCAGGTTTTGGACCAATTGCAGGTTGGTTCACAAATGAGTTCGTTATTAATTTAATTTTGCTACACCTTTGTTATTCTACTTTACAAATCTGTACCTCTGTTTATTTATGATATTAAAATATTTGGTATAATAGGTAGAAAGAGAAAGGGGAATTACAGTGAAAGCAGTTACAGCATCATTAAACTATACATACAACAATGAAAAATACCTTCTGAACTTGATAGACACTCCAGGTCATGTTGATTTTGCTAATGAGGTAATTTCATTTATACAATTATAGTACTCAATGGAATAAAGTCATTTAAACTTAATACCTGCCATGCTTTTACAGGTAGTTCGGAGTGTAACAGCTTGTCAAGGTGTTATAATGTTAGTAGATGCTAATGAAGGAGTTCAAGCACAAACAGTGGCTGTACACTCGCTAGCAAAACGAAACAACTTAACAATTATTCCTACATTAAATAAAGTTGATTTGCCTCGAGCAGACCCTGACAAAGTAAAGGCTCAGTTAAATTCTGTTTTTAAAATTGACCCAAAATCAGTATTGAGTATATCTGCTAAAAAGGGTTGGGGTATCCAGGAATTACTAGAAGCAGTAATTTGTAGAATACCACAACCTTCTGTGGATTCAAAGGGTTATTTTAAAGCTCATATAATTGACACATGGCATGACAAGTACAGAGGGATTCTGTGTTTGGCATATATACAATCTGGAAAAGTACAAGTTGGGCAGGCTGTGAAGTGGAGGTCCGATTCTAAGCCACATGTTGTAAAGTTCCTTGCCCTGTTGAGACCAAATGAAGAGCCCATTGATGAAGCTATAGCCGGACAAGTTGTTATGGTAGGTAAGTGATTGTGCTAGATTTGTTTTTAATATTTTCGTTGTAAAAGTAAATGAGTCAAGAGTTAATTTAAAAAATGTATTCTATTTTCATTTACTCAGTTATTGGCATTGGGTCGTTCACTGTGATTCTAACTATCACAGTGGGCGTGGCTTTAAGTTAGTACACTCAGCGTCAGTATTGTGCACTTGTGTCGCAAAATCTGCCTATTTTCGTTTTATTAAAAAGAAAAGGATAAAATTTTGTATTTTATCGTGTTAAAATTATTTGGATATAAGTTTTTTTATTTAAAGTTAATAATAAAAGTAGTTTTCTACCGCAAGACATCAATATAAGAGTTCTAACTTCGTTTTTTTTAAAGTTTTTTTAAGCTTTGATTATTTTATCGTTTGTGCGTTCAGATGCCTAATTTGACATAAAATATTTTTGTAATTTTATTTGATTGGTAAATAAAATTACATTCATTAAAATAATTTGTTTATTATTTGTTCTCACTCAAAAATATTAAGTATGCTTAACTGTGGGTGAAAATTATAACACTCTTTTTCTCCGTAGCGGTCTCCTCGCGGCTTCCTACTGCGCTGATTGTTGTGGGTTCCCACATGGGACAACACTTTGTGTGATCTACAAATTGTCGTTCTGAGTCGATCTTAGTATCTGTGTCATGTGTTTCTGTAAGTCCCGCGACACAGGATTATATTGCTAGTGTGGTAGTTGTATTTAAAAAAAAATTAAGACAAAAAGAGAAGTCGTACACATAAATACATATAAAATAAGAATTAACAAGAGAAAATATTTTAATAGTCATTCGTAATTTACCACCAACATTTTTATTCTCACTAGCAATACCCAGCCCCTATAAGTTCATTCAGGTCATAATCTATCTGTATACCAAATTTTATTCAAATCAGTGGAGACGTTTCAGCGTAATTAACACATACACAGTACATAGTTTGGCATAAGACAACGAGAACGAAAGAACACATAAACTTTCGCTTTTATAATATTAGGCAGGTTAGTACGATTGTATCAAGATGTATCAGAAAATTCATCTTAAAAAACTCAATGGTACAAAAATTCTGGGTACGTCCCTAACATCCTACACCCCGCGTGAGATAGCTAAACTAATTAGCAACATCGATGTAGAACGATGAAAGTAGTTTGCTATTATTTGGTAAATGGAAAAAAGTGAAATGGGAGGTGCTTAACACCCCTCACCCCGCAAATTATCACGCGTTGTTTTTGCTCCGTGGTTTTATTATTGTTTTATTAAATGTTCATTTTATAAAACAAATTGTGAGGTAATTCCCTATAACTAAATTCCTATTGTGATTATTACATGTATGCACTTGATTTATTTTTCATTTTTATAATAAGGTTGTGGACCAAGAGGGGGAGGCAGTGTAGGCGATCAGTTGCTGGATAAAGAACTAGCGCAGAATGAAGATGCAGTGACAGTGTCCCCTGTCAAACACATGGTATACGCAGGCATTTTTCCAGCTGATCAATCACAACATCCTACACTTAATGACTCTATAAAAAAATTGGCTTTGAATGATTATGCAGTCGCTGTTACTCCAGATTCAAGGTAAGTCAGACACTCATAACCATGTGTATATTTCATTTGATATTTAAATCTTCAAGGGCTTGGGATGTTTAGATCTCGTTTGATCTCTGTTAGTGTGTTTACGTTCTTAAGGATCGAGTTCAATTTTCACGGTCAATTACCTTAAATAAGCGCGGTGTAATAAAATTCAGATTTAGAACTCAGATGGCGCACGACGATGTGCTGTAATGTACCTATGCGTGAAATTGACCGCCAGGACCGGTATTACATTCCTCGCGGGTTTGAGTTATGATACTTGATATAATTTATGAAGACATACTTAATTAATAGCGACAGTAGCATAAACATTTGACAACAAAGACAAGTACGAGTAAACTGTATAACATATTATGCTGTATCTAATAGTTATATCCTGTCTCTCTGTGTAGGGTATCGCTAAATTAAAGAATTCTGCAAATTCTACCGACTAACTCTTAGATAATTCATTACCTTTTTTTGGCTGATGGACACTAAATTAAAAAGTTATATATCAACGGCAAATAATTTTCCAACATGAAACTTCAGTCTTGATGGTATAATAAAATATATATATATCCAACACTCTGATCATTTACCACACTGAGTTAAGACCGGTTCACAGATCAGTGTGTTTAATATCGTATGGTGGAATAGGATGACCTAAGATTACAAACTTTCATTTTATTTCAGTCCAGCGTTAGGCCAGGGATGGCGTATAGGGTTCTTAGGACTTTTACATTTAGAAGTATTTACGCAGCGACTGCTTCAAGAGTACAAAGCTGAGGCTATATTAACCGCTCCATCCGTACCATATAAAGTCAAGTAAGTTTCTAATGTATTTGATATTATTTGATGAAATAAGATCGCAATGTGATCGATCGATGTGCAGATGGAGTAAGTATTACAAAATACCGAGTGACACCGCAAGTATCGCAATGTGATAGATGCAGGACTACGATACTATTCGGCTAAATGTGCTGACAAAATGAAAAGCATCAGCTATCAAAATTTCAAGTTTGTAGCTCCAGCGGTCTAGGATCTGCGTTGATAAATCAGTCAAGTCAGTCAGGGCAACTAATTTTGTATGTATAGATGTACCTTTATAATTTTATTTCATTGCGCTTATCAGGGTTTGCTATAATTTCAGATTGAAAGGAGCAAAGGCAATAAAGCAATATAAAGGAGAAGAAATTATTGTCACAAATCCTGTGCACCTGCCTGATGCGAACAATATAGAAGAATACTATGAGCCATTCGTAATAGGTGAGATACTAAGGCTTGTGGTTTTTAAATAGTCTCCATATTTTAATGTTAGACGTTAGACTTCTAAAACGTTATTTCATGAAATGCCAATTTTCCTGCACTTTTTGTAATTAGACAGAAAAGTTAAGATTAATCACCATGTATTAATTATATATTTAAAAACTTCAGGTACAATAATCACGCCCGTAGAGTACATCGGTGCAGTGACATCTCTTTGTATCGACAGACGAGGCACACCGCTGCCTGCTAGCGCAGTTGACGACAGAATGACAATGTTGCAGTATGTCTTACCTCTCTCCGAAGTTGTTATAGACTTCCACGACACACTTAAAAGTATAACTTCAGGATTCGCCAGTTTTGATTACCAGGATCACGGATTCCATCCCAGTTCGTTAGTAAGAGTAAGTTTCTAATTTAATAACGCAAATATTTCAGTGTGTCTTCGTTAGAAGTATGTTTTTCGTTGTATGTAGAAATCGTCATAATGTATTAATTATCTGTGTCGACAACCACGCACAGGCTCCTATTTATTTAAATGACAAACTCGCTCTATTTTTCTGAACAAATCTTTTAATGAATGGTTTTAGATGGATATTCTTATCAATGGCATGTTGGTCGACGAGTTGTCCACTATAGTGCACACCAGTCGCCTAGAATACAATGCAAGAAGGTTGACCGAGAAGCTCAAGGAGATGATACCTAGGCAAATGGTTCAGGTAAAATCTAACGAGCGTCCCTAATTGTATATTAAACCTTGAATTATGATTATGTATTTAATTGCATATTCATTACAAAATTACGAGTTTATACTATTTGGAATTCATTTCGAGCTATACAATTAAAAAGTCAAGATGCCTCTGCCTTCTATGGACTGACGATCTTAAGATCTACTGCATCTTCAACAGTCTTTCTCTTTAACAGTATAGACATAAGGACTTATTTTTATTTTAGGTGGCAATTCAAGCCGTGGTTAATGGTAAAGTTTTCGCCAGAGAAACTTTGAAAGCCTACAGAAAAGATGTTACTGCTAAATTGGTAAGTACGCCTTATATCTGCACAACACTAATACACGAAAAGTTATGTTGCAGAGCGCAGTAGAAAGTAGTAGTAATGGGCATTAATGCTAATTGGATTAAATTAAATTAATTGTGAAATCTTATATGTTAGCACATTAATTGATGCTGAATGCTGATATTATTTGCTAATGCTTATATTATTTGCTAATAGGTTTGCAATTCCGTACGAGGTGAGCAAATGAAAAACAATCGTAACTGGAGTTTTACTGACTATTAATTTTACCTACATAAATTACTTAATTAATTTACAGAACATTATTACAGAAGTAATCTCAAATAGGGTTTGTTCGCGATATGCTAGCCATCGTCAATTCGTTTTTACAATTTACAAAAAATATCCCTATTTATTCACAAAATACCTATTTACAACGCACACGTCACCCTCTTTAAAACTTAATTACGTATACCTACTCTATAATTGAACTTAATAACAAATACTATATACCTATTATATAAACAACAATTAACAATTTAACAAACACTACGAAAAAACACAGAGGCATTCAAAACAATTACTTACTCTCCCGGCCACTTGCTAATGCTAAGTCGTATTAAGCTAAATAAAATATTCGGGAATGAATTTGATTTTAATCCATCAAGAAATAATCCCACCAAAATTTAATGAATGATATTAAAAATACATTTATGCAGTGTACAAGCCTAACTTCGGGCATATCTTTGAAAATTGAACATAAATTCCCTGTGCACTTTTAGAAATAGGCATCAATCGTGCCGCGCTCGGTCACCGTTCCGATCCGAGCGAAATAGGTAGGTACTTCTAATTAACAAGGTAGCATTAGCAACTGTATTATTATTTTTAATTTTTAGCACGAGGATTTATTAAGTTAAATTTAGTCTTCGCGTTGATGAGAAGGCACACGCTGCGTGAATGTGAAGCGTTAACTAATGAAGCAACGAAATTTCTGTACGTATTAATTCATACGTTCACGAAATTTCACGACTGCAATTATTTTGTAACTGCTAAATAAGAATTCACAATTAAATATGAGTCTGAAGACTAATTAATCCATCATTAGAAGGTAGTTCTTGATCATGATCCGGGTGAGATAATTTAACTTAGCAAAGTGAGGATATCATAGTATCTTGTTCAGGACTGTAAACCATCTCCACTAAAATATCTACTCTATTCCTTAATATATAAAAACACATGAATCGCTTGAATACAGCTGTTCATGTTGCACGATATTGTTAAAAGCTATGTATGTTAGGACGCCATTAATTAAATATTGTTTATTACAGTATGGGGGTGACGTCACACGCAGAAAAAAGTTGTTAAAGCAGCAAGCAGAAGGAAAGAAAAAAATGCGGAGTGTTGCAAATATTAGGATACCTAGAGACACTTTCATTGATGTTCTTAAAAGATAATAAAAGCGACTAAATAGTAGTAGTTCAGACAATTTTTAGGGTATTTTATTTGTATCAGCAATTTGTGTCTACCAATTTTAATGTTTTGGAATTTGAAATGAGAGGAATGGAGTATGTAAAGTTTTATTAACGCCAGCTGCTATCCAAGCCAGAACTATCAGTCCTCAAAGCGTTGCTGCAGGATCAGGCACGCTGCCTAGAGGAACAGTCCTCTAAGTTTAAGTGGGTAGGTTTGACTATAAAACGAAAGGAATCAGACCTAGCACGAACGGAAACAATTCGTCAGTTGGAGGAACATTGGTAACGCAATTCGTAGCAAGCGAATATTCCTGAGATCTACTAGCAATATTGGGAAAAAACCGTTTATACATGTCACAATAACAAGCTGGAGGCAAAGGGCCCTGTAAGTTAATGATACAACCTTTTGAAAAATATACTTAATTTATTTAAAAAAAAACTTGATTACAATTAAAGGACATAGCATGGTTAACAAACATCATAAGAATGATAATGACAAATTTAAAAAAATATACAATCTACTGAAGCTGCTCATTATAGAGTGTCTTACAATAGTGTGTGATAGATCTAGCAAGTCATAGTGAGGTCACTACAAGTATCGACACCTAACAAAAATAATGGTATTAAAAAAAATACAAACCTTTATTTTACAATATTTTTTATGAGCTCTAATAACAGTTTCGTAAGCTCTTTACACTTATATACATTCAACGAACCATTTCATCAAAAATATCTTTTTGTAAATGATTAATACTTTCATTTGGAAGGTAGCACGAGAAGATATGAAGTCGAGGTCAAAGATATGAAATAATGTACTTTCTTCCACAATTTCAACAGTTAATTAATTTATTTAAATTAAGAGAAGGCACAGCAAGTGTTATAATCAGCAAATAAAATTGCACGAAGCGGTATTTTACACGAAATTTTAAAATTATTATTTCATCATCAGCCTATCACTGCTAGACGTAGACTCCTCCCATTAATTTAAACCATGTTAAATTGTATCTTTGTACATTCAAAGCGAAGCCATTCAAATACGATCGTGTGACGACGTAGTGATGGTCGTAGAATTATAATGATTGCATAGAGCATACATATTATGTACTATCCTTATTTGGTTATAATACAGAACAACTACAAGCAAATTCTTGGCTTAAATACAATTAGGATAGGTACAATATCTTACAGGAAATCTAGTGCAGATATACGCCCCCTTCTCTGCGTCTAGTTCGTACCATTTCAAATAGGTGATCAACTTGGACATTATCCTGACTACCCAAAAAGAGAACATCCTATACCCGCCTGGCCAGCGTGGTATAGCAAGCCAAAACCTCCCTTGTAAGCAGAGGTCAATGTCCAGCAGTTGACTATTAGAGGCTGTTGATGATGACCCAAAAATAACACCGCCTTGAGTTAAAAGCTGGATCCGCCCCTGCAGGAAACACGAATTAAATGACGTTACCTAGATATTACGTAAGAAGAAAACCATAATACTTCACCACGCTGCTAACATATTAAATATATTATAATAGTTGTAGTAAAATTAAAAAAAAACAATCTACCTCCAATCAAATGTTTTGTGATTCAGGCAATATGGTCACATCTAAAATTCGGTTGGAGAAGTCACATCTTTACAATAATTTAGCCCATTCCTTATATGCTCCCTATTTTTTTCTATAGAAAACGTCATAAGCTTGAGAGTGAACAAAACATAAAAGGATAGGACAGCAATCAGTCAGGCAAACTCAACTGGGTACTAAACGTCAAAACAGAAGAATGAGTGCAACATTGTATCATGGCATGATGTACTCCTTATTGGCGTCGTATCCCGTAATGTTCATTTTATATTCATACTTATAGTACATTAAGTATGAAAAAAAATATGAAAATATACATTGTGAAAGTAGTCAAAAAACTTAATTACAATCAAAGGACATAACATGGTTCAATAAACATCACAAATTTAGTGTGCATGCAATAGTGAATAAAAGTAGCCAATTGCGATATTAGCGGCCATTAATGTGTGTGAATTTTTAAAGTAGTATTATCATTCGTACGTACCATAAAGTTGATCTGTTAATAGCGTACTGCATGTAGGTCGAAACTACGAATAAATATGCTCAAACTTAACGATGGGCCAAGTACGAGTTTTACTCAAGCAATATGTCTCTATCATGTGTGTTTAACAAATTTAACATTGTAATTAAGGACCACGTTTTTCCGTACATTAAAACTGTAACTTTGTACAGAAAATGTTGAGAGATTTACAAATGTTAATTTAAGACCATTGACAACTTAAATGTTTTCTGTCATTTTTAGACCTTTTCAAGGCAATGGATATACTGGATATTAGATAAACGCTCTCGAAAACGAAGACGGAAAATAGTGCCAATGATACTTTTGATAATGAGTTAGAAAAAATCTATCTCGATGAAAAAAACATCATTAAACGTTTTATTGGCACTTGTCCATCAGCTTACCGATCAGCTGTTTTAGTTTCGTTTACATTGCGCTTTTTTTAAGGGATGTTCTTTTATGAATCATCGTTTAATTTAGTTTGTTTTAAAATACAGATTTATTTTTTCGGCGGGATCGAATTATTTCTGAGCCATCATCAAAAAAATCATTAGTATTATCGTCCATCTTCGTTGTAGGGAGCGTTTCCCTAATAGCCCATATCAAAAATAAGCGTGTTGACAAATCTCCGGAACTGTTTCTATTTAGCAGCTTTTAAAGTAACGTTTAATAATTCTCACTAAAGCACTCGCATCTGCCACATGATTTTAAATACGTCACTAAACATTAAACTTACAGTCCTCATAGAGCAGTAAAGTCAATTATTCATGTGAAATATCTAATGCGGAGGGTCAGACCGGCTGTTGGCGTGGCAAAGCGTCGCCATTTTTACTTGTACTGTATTTATTATTTCCTTTCGAAGCTAACCTTTTACACTTATTATTTCTACAAAATCTTCATGTTTCACATCTGCCACACGTCACGTGACGCATCAATTTTTTACAATTTAATTAAATGTTATCATATAAACTGACGGCTGTCTGTTTATCGATTAATGATGTAATAAATCTGGCTGATGTTTGCAGTCAAGTGATACATTTACTTTTTAAGAATTTTTAATTATTCTATTATAGCTGTTTATATTTTAGAAATATAGACAACACTCCTATTTCACTTTTTAACACAGCTGTCAGTTCGGAGCTGTTACAAAATCCAAACTGTGTTCGAGAAATACGTCGTAATAATGTTTATAATCTTTACCTTTGGAACCTTTATGCTCAAAAGAAAGTCTCTGACCGTACTTAATGATAAATTTTGCACCACTCAAGTTCACTGGATCAATCCTTATGTAAATATAGTTTACTATTGTTATATTGTAACGTCACGACATACCATCTTTTGCACACATATGAATAACATTAAATAATTAATTAAGAGTATCTCAATATATTTAATGTAACTGGAAATAAACAACAATCAACCTAATAATAATAATCTAATTTTAAATAACGTTTTAATTTGTGATACTAGAATCACCAATAAATCATTAAGCCAGTCTTATTTTTAACAAACCGAATTCTTCCTTGATCAAATAATATAATAGTTAAGTATAAACCTTAAATATAAACTAAATTTTAGCGATAATTACAAATTTACCAAAATCACTAAGCAATTTAAAACAGACAGACTGAAACTGTTTATATTCTCTATTAGTTGTACTAATGTACTCTTCTATAACACTGAAAACGAGACAAAGGCAAATACGAGGCAACCTATTTAGAATATTCTATACATCTTAAACACACATGTAAATATAAACAAATGAACAATAAAGAAACATACGCAATAAAATTTGATTTCAATAATCTCATAGCATTTATGGAAATTTATATAAAAAGTTAAAATAATAGTTAACTTTTGGCTACATTATCTTCGTATTTTATAAATTTACAAAATTTATATAGTCATTTTTATTTATAACGTAAAATATAGTACCCATAAATTCGATCTACATGACAAGTAACATGGTAAAAGAGCTCTTGTAGTTATAAATACAGTTAGATGTGCTATAAAAACTACATGTCAATTACACTTTGCATCTCAACCATTTATCCCCCCCTAATATTCCGAGTGCTAACTTTACTATGTACACCGCCGCGTCAATACAGTGTCTATTCTTTGCCACCCTAAAACAACTAAAGAGGATTTGGCTTTCCAACACATATATTTATATCAAAACAATTATATTTACCTAGTGTCTGCCTAGTGTCGTCCTTCACAAATAGCGTTTCTAAAGATATGTCTAAGAATATTTTGAGCAGCGTCATTTTTAGAGTAAAAAGACGAAGATAGTTTATTTTTGCGCTGACATGTTGTAGGACGACTGTCATGTAACCAGGCCTCCTTAAAGTTGCCACAATTTTTCAAAAATAAGGTTGACTTGTTTAATTTGTAATACAACACTCCATACCATCAATACCTAATAGTATTACATAATGCTGTAACCTTTTATAGTTATAAATTGTATCACTAAGAATTATTGTTAACAAAAGTGTACTCTAGACAACCTTATTAAATATACATAGTTTTAGGGTGACATGACTTTTGTAATATCAGATCCAATGTTAAGACTGCAACCTATTTATCTATCTTCTGAAGTTTCGAGGAACTGAGCGTATACATCTCTTGTGCATTCGCCTTTTTCATTAAATTTATACTTGTAGTAAGATCCATCGGCACAGATCACTGTAAAACATTCAACACGATTAGATAAGCATGATAGGACTTAACAAAGAGATATATGAGTCATATCAAAACGTTTAAAAACATCATATCTTGCATATAAACAATATATTAATTTTTACAATTTGACATAATCCTTAAAGAAAAAGAGTAGATATCGCAACATATTATTTTTTGTTACTTTGAGCATCTAAAGTGCACTGATAAGAATATGTTGTGCCTAAAAATTGTGAAACTATTAAATTTTATCCTATAAACTGCATATTTGGTTTAAACGTTGTCTACTTTTCCTGTCATTCATATGAAATAGAATTCATTTATTTGTACTTTAGTAAATAATTGCAAAAAGACATTTATGAATGCCTAATGAAAAAAAAATATTATGTTATTTTTTTTTACTTAAAAAGTTTTATGCATGCTAGTTTACTATACTGAATAACTAAATGAAAACATTGTTAATAGTCCAATTATGATGTCTTAACTGATTATATTTAAACTTAATAATGTAAACAAATAATGCTTTAGGAAAGTTATTGTCTTCCTTAACTTACCAATAATGGAACTTTTGTCAACTCCAAATGCACAGATGCACGGGGGCCCATTTGGTATAGTAAATTTGCAAAAACTCCAATTGCTTGAAAAATATTTAGGCAAGAAATTGACGGTTGCCAGGCTTGACTGCTTGTTAAGTTTTTCATCTTCAAGGCTGAATACATGGACAGTGCCATGATCTGATGTAACACATAAGTTGGTGCTAGAGTGATTAAAGTTTATGCAGTAAATTATGGCCTGAAATTATAACAAAAATAACTTTTAACATATTTCTTTACTATGTATCTTAAAGAAGCATTGCTACAAAACATGTTCAGTATAATATAAGGTTTTAAACTACTGCTAGGAGGACAGTAAAATCTTTTATTAACACAGACAGTTGCCAGACAGAATGAAATACGTAATTAAATAATATTAACCTTTTAGTGCATATTTCTTACATAAACATTATAATGTGGAAACTAAATAAAATAAAGGTTTCCTCTGCAATAATTAATTTAAAATAGGATGAGGCTAACTAACTAATAACTACGCTAGTTTGCTAGAATCATGTTAAATAATAAGTTGGTGATTTTTGCCTCTTTTTAATTGTACAGCATTACCTGTTAAATGATCTTGGAAAAATTAAATAATCTTTGAAAAAACCTATAAAATATAATTAAATTCTTATCGTTATGTCATGTGCTTGATTTAAATAATTGAGAATTTTAGAACAATTCCCAACGCTGAATTTAATTGAAGCAGGAGATGAATGATGCAGAAAACTAAAGAATTCACATCATTCATTCACACAAAAGAATTAACATTTACCCAAGAACTTGTATAATTGCTTACTTTGTTAACTTACCCTTTATTTTGAAATGATTCTGAGTATGACAGTCTACAAGTACTATGTGGTTAAAAAGGGACAGTAATTATGGAGGCCTATAATATACTTATTCAAAAATAGTAGTAAGAAAATTACCTGATGTGCCCCTCTCCTTAATTCAGCCAGTTTCTGTCCAGTAACTGTATCAAATACTCTGATAAGTGTGCCTTTAGTAGAAGCTGTGGCTAGTCTGGTACCACCAACATTGAGGGCCAGGCAGCTGAGTGGTGCTTCATGAGCTGTTATAAGGTGCCCTTCTGGTGCTGTACTTGGGCCTGCATGACTACTTAGTTCTACTAACTGTGAACAAAAATCTAGAGGTTAGAATAAACTACAGACACCAAATATGATTGTGAATAAGGCACTTGCAGCCAGCTCAAGATACTTCACCTCTTAATGAAGAGATTGTCCTATGTCAGGTTTTAAACTAATCAGGTAACAGGGAATCACTGATCAAATTGAATTAGAGATATTGTTAAAGTACTTCTATGTGCTAATTTAAAGTTCTAAAAGAAGAAAGGGTTATTCATTATTTTTTTATAGCAATAAGGATGATTTGATGTGAAATAGACCATAGGATAACATGTATTTATATTTATAGTCATTATAAAATCTGAAATGCCAAGCAATATTATTATGAGTTACTTGCTTTTGCTTAGTGTATTCCTTGGGTGGCAGGATAAGAAATTTTTAAAAACCAGTTTGCTTAGGTTTCTATATTTTCTCCTTCCTTTCTATGTAATTATAAAAATAATTTTCGGCACACTTCAAATACAAGCTTCAAAAAAGGAATTATTGCAAAGAAAAATGGCAATTTACTTGATCAGTTCTCAGTCAGTTTTGGTATCATAACAATTTGACACGTCTCACACAAAGCGTTCTGATTCCAAACTAGGCAGAGCCAAACTGATGATAAACATAATTATATAGTTCCAAATACATACATATTATAGATAAATTTACACCCAGAACAAGTAATCTTGATCTTCACACAATATTTGTCCTAAGTGGGAATCAAACCCATTACCTCCAGGTCAGCAGTCAGGGTCACTAACCACTAGATCAACAGGCCCATCATTATTAATAAAATGAAATATATAATTAAAAATAAAATTGCCAATTGTAGGTGCAAAACATAGATTTTCTTATTATAAATTTGCATAATTAAACAATATATAATGATAAAACAGTGTCTAATAAAGCTCTTCCTATTTTATTTTTTCTTTGGTTTTGTCAGTTCTACTCTTGCCATGCCTTTGTGATTTGTGATCAGGGACTTGATTGAACATCATGGACTTGATTGAACAACTACATAAAAAGAGATTTTAAGTTTTTTTATAGAGTTAAATAGTGTTCAAAGAAACTTCCATTATGAAGTAAATTTAGAGATTTGTCTTCAGTGCATTCATTACCACATCCCACTTAAATCTTAAGCTACTTTAACATATTGTTTTTTCAGTAAAACAATGTGTTTTATTGAAATATAAATCATATGTGCAAACTTTTTACTGAGGCTCTTAGACTATACAAATATAAAGTCATTCTTTTGTTATTGCTGTTATTATTAAATGCAAGGACATTCATTTTATGTCAGTATCAACAATTTATATAATAATATTTACTATGGTTTTGGTTTAATAATGTTATCATATTTTACATATAAGGAAAACTAAAATGGAAAACAAAGTTCTCATACAAAATGTAATTGCTTACTCAACTGAGGTCAAGAAATAATATTTTTCCAGAAGGCCAATTCTTGTAATAAAAGTTCGGTCTCAATTCAGTTGTTACTGCTACTACTACTACTACTAACTAGTAAAGTATTACTGAAACACACAGATAATAAATTCAATTTTCGGTTACAATACAATGTAATATATTACATGTAAATGCGATTGGAACTAAATTGAGACCAAACTTTTATTACTAGAAATGGCCTTCTGACAATCCTTTAAACTGATTTCTTGTTCAAAAAGTAGAAGAAACTAGAGAAGATAACTCTTTTTATACTTTAAATTAGTACTACTTTAGGTAAATATTTACATTTTAAATATAAAAAAGTAGTATTCTTATATTTATAATAGTTGTGCAAGTATTACTGTCTACATAGTACATAATTAGTTAATACTGTATAATAATGAAATAGCAAAGAGCTCTATTTCCACATTTTGACTTGGTAGTCTACATTTCATTTAGTCATAGTGAAGTAAAAAAACTCTTTTTTACTACACTATTAATTTTATATAAATTATATTATATATTAAAATAAATTTAATAATACACCTTTAACTCTAAAGGTGTATTATTAAAGCCTGATGATGATGAAAGGTTCTCTTGTCCTACCTGAACATGCCCTGTTTTACGACTTGGATAAGCAAGTAGAGCATTATTGCTGTTAGGGCATACAACACACAGACCTCGTGTGTTTTGACAGGTTTCAAACACATGCAGCAATTGTGGCTGAGCCGTGAATGTGTACACCTTGATCAAGTTCTCTGCAAAAGAGTTTTAATTTGAAAATTCATGTAAAAGTATCTAAGAATATTGTTTTTACTCCCTGATATTTCAGATTTTTTATTAAAAGTTTATTTTCAAAATTAGAATTCAACATGTAGTTAATACTGAAGTATTCAATAGAATCAATTTGTATAACCAAAAGAGAAGGTAGTCATCATAATTGCATTATATATAACAATTGGAAAAGCTTACCTAATACAACAACAATACGGTCTCTTCTTAGTTTTACGGCTTTTACAGGACTGTTGAAATCGAGAGATATTGCTGAATCTTTCTTTAAATCGTCCCATATTATAACACGATTCGGAGGATACACGGGGGTTTTACCACCACCTACTAAGGCCATATAATTGCATCTGAATAACATTTCAACGTAAGAAAGTCCGCCTTGAGCAAAATTCTGTCGCTCTTTCTCTTTAAGTGGGTCGCTATTGAACACCCGAAATCCATTCTCTGTTCCGCACGCAAAACAACCTGCAGATTACAAAATAAAACTAAAGCGATTGGTACGTGAAGCGCAATCATATCAAGAAACTGCTCTAAATTACCTTGGTCTTGATTAAATCCAACGTATAAAAGTCCGTTTCCAAAGGTATTATCATCTGATAAATTCATTTTGCAAACAAATCGCTATATATTTGGACAAAAACTTCACGAAAAACAATATAATCTTCGATACAGTTCACACAACTTTGCGGCAATTTGACAACAAATTTTGCAATAGACAGAGATGCCAGCATAAACAGAAGAACTATCCAATTGTACAGATAATTTAAATTGTCATTTAGACTGCACTGCACTGCAATAAATTAGCAGGATAAAAAATCTAGCCATGAATCTAATTATTAAAGAGTACTTAAAAACGTCATTAACATGTCATAATAATTGTTTATTATAAGACAACTTTTTTAAGCATAGGTCATGTATTGTGTCAAAACCGATTCTCAAAAGTTAGGAGTTCATTTTTATGGTGTGTAATATTCTTAAGAGGGTAGATTCCTAGGTTTAAAATAAATTATTTTGCTTGCATCTTTAAATGCAACATCTTAAACTGTCAATTCAATGTTTTTATTGATTTGATATATTCAAATCAATATTAAATACCGATTATTGATTTGACAATGGCTGGGTATGACGTCACGAAATAAAAAATAAGTCATTCAAAAATGTACTGTGTCTAGCGTTTTATTTATTTACAGATCATGCACATTTGGTGCATTGGCTGACTTAATGCCTGACGTTTAAACGTTTAAAAAAAGTTTCTGATTTGACTTGACAGTCATCTACCCTATTCCAAAGTATTGAGAGAAAAACAACGGGTTTAAGTATTTAAGCCGAGTAATTTTAGAGGATTGGACTATACTTCTCTATTCAAAGGGCCAGAACTAGGAAGAGACGTGTGCAGTTAGTTTGAACATTGTGAAAACCGCCGATCGAGTCCCAATTAAAATACTTCTCTCACAACTTCCTTTTCATGGGTTGCCCGAAAAATTGTGCATCTGGGTCACAAGTTTTCTTATAGACAGGTGCATTACGAGTATGATATTTATCAGCAGTACATGGCTCGAATCAACGACGGTCAATGTTCCACAAGCTTGTGCCATCACATACGCTATTTCTTCTGCATATCATATATATACATATATACATATCACTTAATCGTACTTTCAGATTGGAGTTATTTTAATCTTTTCCAATTCAATCCCACAAAAACGCTACTGAAACTGTAAAAAAAAATACCGACTGTCATATTACCACGCATTGAGAACACTTAACGGTCTCCTAGAGGGTAACTCCATGAAGGCCTGTAACTCAGGAGTTACAAAACGTTGCCGGCCTTTTAGGAAGGCGTACAATCTTTTCTTGAAGGTCGTATCAGTCCGGAAATAACGCAGATGATAACTTGTTCCATAGACTAGTTGTGGGAGGCAAAAAGTGTCTTGGAAAGCGCATAGTGGTGAATCGCCAATTATTCAGGTGATGGGGATCAAAATTTTTCCGAGTGGAACGATGGCGGGAAGTTTCCGATACTAGTACGATAGTATGTATATAATAGGGAATGCAGAGTGAAGTTATATCTCGCCAAGAGATAGAGCCGATCGGAGATGTTTCTGCTATCGACGATTCGAGTCGCTCTTCGTTGGATGCGGTCCAGAGGGAGAAGCTGGTGATGAGATGCCTCTGCATAGAGATAAAAGTAGTATTACATATGCCGTTATGTCGATGCCTAGGATTCTAATACTGGCTGAGACAGTTAGGGAGATACTCTCAAACTGAGGTGATACGACAAACGGTATCTTCTTCGTAGTAAACGCACAAATCTGTGTCTTTTCGGGTTTAGGTGGACTAGATTTAGTCGACCCCAATCTGAACCCTCCATTAAGGAAGTTTAAATTTCAGACACTAGTTTGTTTCAACTCTCGATGACGTTTTCCCGAGAAAAACTGGGGCGGCCCATATGAAGTGCATCGCCCGTACTATCATTTGCATAGCAATGGATGCTACTAGATTGCCACATGCCATTGATATGCAGAACAGTTATAGAACACAGCATTGCGACATCAGCATTTACGGATTTCAAGTCGGAGCATGCACCGACGACAACGGCCTTAATAAACCGTCCGCAAGTACACTGGAGATCCAAATACATAATTTCTTGGAAAGCCCATATGAAGAGAGATTCGAGAGAAGCGCCTTATGCCAGAGCCGATCGAAGGCCTTCGCTATGTCCAAACTAAGCGCACAAGTAGCTCGCCTGTCGGTGGGCACAGGGGCAGTGTGTTAGAAAGACGAGAAAATCAACAGCTGAGCTACCTCGGTGAAAACCATATTGTAGGTCATTAACTAGCTGGTGATCATCTAAGTATTGGAGGAGCTGGCTGTTTATTTTAGATTCCATAATCTAGGGAACAGTCGACTTAGAGTCGTGAATCGCAGGCGTTCATAGGCAGTAGTCACATAGTTACGCAAATAGTGATCTTGGTTTAACATTTTATAGCAACATTTTACAACTTCATAAACTTCATAATAATAAGTAATAAATTTGCTTCATAGAATATAAGCAAAGAGTGAACAAGAGCCCTAATCTTGCAATATAGGCAACAAGAGAGATGGATAATAGATAGCTGCCTTTATTTCTTTCTAATCGAGCTCTAAAAGAGCCTACAGGAGCAAGATTGAAGCTCTTGTTCCCTCTAGGTTATATCTCTATGTTTCTAACACAGCCGATAGTCAACGACCGATTGTTCCGGAAAGGTGAGAAAAAATCCCATTGTTTTTATTTTGAACTGCTACATTTGGCAGCACTGGTTGGTTTGACATTGACAGCTTGAATTTATTTCGTACACAGTAAACATCTCACAGTACAGGTACCTACAGAAATAATACGAAAAATATTGTTGCACTGAATCGTATTGTTGAATTGTTCTAAATTGCAATTTGTTTACTCTGTACATTAAATATGTTGAAACCGAAAGCATTAACACAAGTGTTAAGCCAGGCTAACACGGGGGGCGTTGAAAACACCCTGTGAGTGCATTGCATGTTGTTCCATGCCATTAAACTGATGAGTCAAGTTAATAAAATATTTTAAACGTTTTTCCAGGTTATTGAATCATCAAGGAGCACTGTTGGCTTATTCGGGGTACAATGACAAAGACGCAAGAGTCACAGCAGCAATCGCCAGTAATGTTTGGTCGGCCTATGAGAAACATGGCAGAAACGTTTTTAAAGAAGATAAGTTGCATTTGATACTAGTAGACTGTTTAAATGGAAAGATTGCCATTACACAAGTAGCTAATTTACTATTATGTCTTTATGCAAAAGAGACAGTTGGTTTTGGCATTCTAAAGGAGAAAATAAATGCTATTGCCCAGTATCTGGAAGGGCCTCTAAAACAAGTAGCTAGTTCATAACATTTAAACTGTCTTATTTATATATAGTAAGTGTAAATCCTTCAAATAAGAAATATTGCTTATATTTTGTACACATATAATACTGATTTGTAATATTATCTTAGGTAATAGGTAACTTGCTAGTATGGAACTTTAAGCTAAAGTCTTACTTTGTAAAATAGCTAATGTTTAATTACACATACAATTTCCTTGATCTTATATGACACTTGTAAGAGCAGGAGCTGTTGAAATTTTTGTTGGTATCTTTATGTAAAATGTTATATGTGAACTCTATATATAATAAAAGATTTATTATAATCTAAAGACAATGTTATTTTTTAGCTATTTGGTCATATCTTAAAGAAGTTTAGTGATTAAAAAAAACTGGAACTAAACTGTCTTGGCTGTTCCAGTGTTCTTAATTTTGCTTTTTAGCTACCTTCAATGGCATTTTTATGGCCATGAAAGCTTTTTCATGTATGTATGTATCTTAACATTATCCTGTTGGACTTCTTGTACATTTTCTACAATAGGATAATGTAAAGTTTGCTGTTATTTTACAATCTTTCTATTGTCTATACATGTCTCAAACAAGATATGTAAAGTCTGTTATTATCTCAGCTCAAAACCATGCCAACATACATTCCTGTAATTAACAGGTAGCACTTACATAGGTACAACTTAGTTAAACTAGTCTTTCTTTTTCACCAATACAAATCAAATCCAATGATGTTTAAGTGAGGAACAACATCCTTGCAGAAGACCTAAATAGGTACCTACTGTACTAATTTATTTTTTTATAGTAACTATATTTCACATGCATTCAGCTGCAATCATACATGTCTTTCAATCTCTCTCTTTTTAAATCTTACCATAGGTACTGTATATGCTTTTGGCAAACATAATATAGTTTGAATACAATAATAATAATAAGCATGCATATTTATCCAGCCCAACAGTAAAACTGTCAGTAAAAGTTCACTTTGCTTGTTACATAATAGCTGACACCCGCAACTTAGTCCATCTAGGAAAACAACTAAATTTGTTTAAAAAAAATTGAATTACCTAAAACATTTTCTATTTTAAGTAGTTTGCAATACATATATAGTTTTTTAAATATATGCTACTATGCTATATCCAGCAATGGACATCTTTCATGTGAGATAATGATAATAATTTTATTTGCTGCATATCAATCAGTGACTACCAATTTTGTGAGATTTACCTGTCGGTAAATCTCACGCCAAACCTGTTAGACTACATATTGATTGATTCCAGGCCTCTGTTGACCAAATCAATTGCTGATGATATGTTATCACCCTTAGCTTAAGAGCACAGCTGCAGATCATCACTTCGTTGATTAACCCTGTCAAAATTTCTAGTGTTTTGTTTTTTCTTCCTAAAATGTTTTGATTTGGATAAATGTGTATGTGTGGAAATGTGCTATAGATACAAGTGAGGAATAGGAAGGAGAGAAATGGCATACACTTCAACAATATAAAATGATTAGATTTTTTTTTATAATATTAAACAATTTTATTATTATACAAAATACAGGACACAATTGTGTGACACTAAATAGGGAATATACATTTAACGCATTTTCTTTTGCTTAATCAAATAATTTCTAAAAGCAATCTGTTTATCCTTGAAAGATCTCTTAATTTTGCCTTTGGCTTTATGTTTTACCATTTGATAGTTCTTGGTCTTCCTTTTCTCCCTGTTAGTTTTAGAGCAATGTATATTCTTTCGTCTATCTTTGTATCCAAACTTATCACGATCCTCTCTACCTTTCATAACGGTCTCTAGTCGTGCATTGTAGTCATGTTTCTTTTTCTTATGAATATTTTCAATAGCAGCTAGTTGTACAAGTTCTGAAGATTCATTCTCTTCTTCTAACACATCACTCTTTCTTTTAGTGCCACTAATACTTTTTTTAAGCTGTGCTGCTGCAATGCGTTTGAAATCCTCATCAGTAAAAATAGTTTCCATAGCAATTTCTCTGGCACTTTGTACTTTTTCCTCCATATCCTTGCTGTCTAGTTTTCTTTTTGGTTTTAATATCTTTCTATCTTGCAGATCTTTATTAATTTCATCATTATTTTGTGACTTTTCTTCAAATTCCTCATCACCATCTTTTTCACCCTCAGCTTCTTCTTCTACTTCTTCATTGTTAGAATCTTCTTCATCACTGTCTGATATTTCTATTTCTGAATCAGAAGATGCAACATCAACCCATTCATCACTATCAGAATCATCTTTTTTCTTTTTGCCTTTATTACCTTTCTTTTTGTCTTTTTCCTTTATTTCTTCTTTTTCTAATAGCACTTCTGATCCAGGAATATAGCTTTTAATTTCCATTTCACCATATTTCTTATTTTTTAATTCTATAGTTGCTTCTGTTGGTTTACCTCTATCTTTTTTCTGAAGCATATCAGGCATAGAGTGTCTGTACAGTTGAATTAATGATCTGGCAGCCATCATAACTGACTTTTCTTTATAATTCTTATATTGTACCAAATCTCTTAGTAAGTCTTCACCAATAGCAAGTGGACATCTGGCACATATTTCTCTAACAGCGTTAAGACCTACTGCCATGACATCAGTGGTGTTTCTCTCTGTTATAAAATTATTTGCAATAGCTTTCATGACCGGTTCTATAACTTCAGGTGGAACTAATTCATGTGAAGCTTGAGCAGCAAAGAGCAAAATTCTGGTTACTTCCCTTTGATGTGGCAGCAGTAATCTTGCAATAAATGGATAATAGTTAAAAAGAAATAAGCTATGTAAACCTACCAACCTAGAAATTACATCCAGTAGCATCAATTTCACTTCAAACCTGTCATTTGATGATTCTAACTTCTTGAACAATTTTTCAGCAAACCCTTGAGGATTATTTATGAGGTGTAGAGCAGAGAAATTAAATGCAGGTGCTTTTTGTTTTTTCTTCTTCAGTTTTTTAGCCTGTTTTTTAACTTTTTCAACCATTTTTTCCCTTTTCCGTGTTTTCTTATTAAATTTATTTGATATCATAGTATCTCTGGGATCAATTTCATCATCACTATCTGAGTTTTCTTCTTTCTCTTCCTCATCTCTTCCCAAGAAAAATTTAAGCGAGGCCACCATGACTTTAGTAATTTTAGAAAAACATCCAATATCAGCAATAATGTTTACAGTCTTCTGATCATTCCAAATGTTTTTGTGATATAATTCAACCAATATATCCAGTGATAGTTTAGCAGCTTTAGGATGGGAATCTTGCAGCATTGAAAACATAAAGTTTTGTAATGTTGAATTAAACTTCATATCTTTATGTTTCTTATTCATGTTTTTTATATCAGTTGTTATATGAGTCTTCAAGAATTCTCTCAACTGTTTATCTTGACATTTTAGTAGCAGGAAAAATAGTTCTAGTAAGTCGAAAGCTGTTATGAAATGTTTGTTTCTTAGTAAAATTAAACATTTACATAAGGAAAGACGCATGTCATTATGAAGTATCGTGTTATGCGTTTTCAAAATATCTATAATTCTTTGCGGAAATTGTTTCATTTCACTCAGATAACACTGAGCTACTTGTGCCAGAAACATTGCTTGTTCATCTAGTTTTTTGTTATATTGTGTGGGATTCAAGTTGAAGATTTCTAACGTAGTTTCAAAATGAGCAAGTTGCTGACGAAATTCTTCCTTGTAGGATTCTGGATCCCTCTTAATTAAATTTTGCAACTGCGTCAAATTATTTGGTAACTGATTATTATGCCTCACCATTTTGAATATTTGGATTTATGTAAACATTAGTTATTCTCAATCTACACGAGTAACCAAAAAATAACCTCTTTCTATACCACACTATCAAAACAAGATGAATGTGAATGACAGACAGTGACACAATGGCAGTGTTGCCAGTTGCAATCGGATTTTATGGTCTGTTCCACTTTGATTTGTGTTAGCTCAGATCAAAGAAATTTATTTCAGAAGTGTTTTTCTTAATTGTTACAAATAGTAGTTTGTTTAATGTTTGAAGCTCTCAACTTTAAAGTAACAATCAAAGAAATAGATTCGCTTAGCCGTAGTACGTTAACTACGGCTAAGCGACGGGCTGAGACGTTACTCGATAATGACTCGTCTTGAGTTAAAAGATAAATCCACCTAGCGTATTTATTAAAAAATGGGTTAATATTTCGCAAATGAACTGCCATAGACCATAGTTCTTATGTGGGTTCTAGTTTTTTTTTTAGAGTCTCAAAGTCTCAGGTTTTTTCCTATCACTACTTTACAAAAAACAAATATTAATCGCATCAATACGAATTTTTTATCTTTATATACATTATTTTTTTCTGCGTGTGTGACCAGTGTGACTGAACTCCTAAACGGCTCCACCGATTTTGATGATTTTTATATGTAAGTATCTTCGAGAACGGTTAAGATTAACAATTCGGTCCACCATAAAATGTTTTTTAGTTAATTTTTTATTAAGGTCCGCTGGTGTTTTTGTAGATTTTTTTGAGAAATTAATATTTAACAATTTTACAAGTACATATATTTGTAGTAAACTATGGTGTTAATAAGACAATAGAAGATAATTCTCTAAAGATTTTACTTCGGTTTACTTAAACTGTTATTTTTTATCACTCATAAATTGCCATTGGTATTGCAAAACAAAATAAATAAAATTATGGTTTAGTGGACCATGCAATAATTAAAAGTTGTGTCAATTGTGTCATGTCAATCAGCCACGTCATTTTTGCTTGAATGATAGAGTGTACGCGGCGTTACTGATATAGCATTCGTCTTCAAAATGAATATTTTTCGTTTGCTTGGTGATTTATCTCATCTTTTAGCTATTATTATATTACTGCTAAAAATCTGGAAAACCAGATCATGTGCGGGTAAGTCATATCGGCTTATATACGATTCGTTCAACCGGCACAATCAAAATGTATTTTAATACAGAATTATTTATAATGAGGTTTCATTTCCCTTTAAGGTATATCTGGGAAGTCTCAGATACTTTTCGCAGTCGTGTACACGGCGCGGTATTTGGATCTGCTAACCAATTACATCTCGGCTTACAATACGTTTATGAAGATGGTATTCATAATGGCTTCATATGCCACTGTTTACTTGATGTATGTCAAATTCAAAGCAACGTATGACCATAATCATGACACATTTAGGATTGAGTTCTTGCTGATACCGTCGCTAATATTAGCTGTGTTGATAAATCATGAATTGACTGTAATGGAGGTTAGTATGTTTTAGTTGCATTGCTTACATTCAATGTTACTTAATTTGCGCGGTTTATTTATTTCTTTTTAATTTGCAGGTATTATGGACTTTCTCAATTTACTTGGAGTCTGTAGCTATTCTACCGCAACTGTTTCTGGTGTCTAAGACTGGAGAGGCTGAAAGTATTACATCCCATTACTTGTTTGCACTTGGATCATACCGAGCCCTGTACCTTTTGAATTGGGTAAGAAGCTAACATAAACATTACTAACATAAGAATCATGGATATTACAATCAATAATATTTGATTCTGAATGTGGGATCCTAATCCCAAAGATTGAACGACCAAATCCATGATGATTAATGGATCATTGATGGGTTTTGATGTATTTGAGTATAATTGTTTGTATTTGTTTGTTTTATGTAATGTTATCAACATCTTAATGTTATTTATAATTCTGTAGGACATTATTTTTAATACTCAATACATTTATTGCATTCCATAATGTGATACAGATGTCAAGCTTAAAATTAGGTTACAATTATGGACCCTGTCGGGCACAGCATATATTATTTCACACATGTTATATGGTATTATTGCACTATTCAGTAGTTTTCCTATGATAAGTCATTATACCGCACACATCTTAATTAATTTCATTTATTTATTTATTTTTATATTTAACCTATTACATTATTTTTTCATTTATTTTATATTTAGCCAACTAAAATATTTTCCATTTTAATTTATGTTGTAGATAAACTTGCTGTCTTAGGTATCTGTTATAAATGTATACACACAAAAATTGGATTCAACTATAGTAAATTTGGTTTTGTTTTAATTAAGTCACTATTATATTATATTATTTTCATCTGTGTTTATTGAGTATCAATGTTATAGTGTAGGATTGTTTTAATGTTTTACTAGAAATAATTTAAACTTCATAATATAAACTCTCATAACATAACATAGAACCATGTACACATAAATTTATTGGTGATTGTTCAGATAGATTGATGTGAATTTCCGTTAGTGTAAGTTGGACTCCAAGGTATAAGATCATGGCAACTCTCTCAATTTGATCTAAACAGCTATATTTAATTACATCCCTGAATAATTTCATAAAGTAGTTGACATTATTATTTTTATATTATGATTTTTTGAATCCTATCTACCAGTTAGGTGATTTTAAATACTCTTTCTACATGTCGGAAAAATATCTATTAGGGGAAATATTACAAAGCAAAGCTTATAAATATTGTTTTAGCTCTGGTTCTGGTTTTTGCTTTTAGACTCAGAACAGTTTTTCAAGACAAGAGTCTGTATATAAATAGGGTTGCTAACCAATTTAGTGTTTACGGTAGTGTTTATTGTTTTTTTTAATTATATATTTAATTGTTACTGTAATTGCGCTTACACTATTGTGCACCATAAACAATTTCATTGTCACATTATTCATGTTTCGTTTAAAAAAAAATCTATACCAGAAAGAAGTTGATAACAATTAATTAAAAACTTGTTTTTATCTTCTTTAGGAAATGTGTTATATACATTTTCAAAAGAAGATAAAGGAAACAAGTTTTGAAAACTATAAATTAACAAAACAGTGTTATTCTATTAATTTATTTTTAATTCCCAACCATTTACACACACACCCACTTTTCTTTTTATTAGTCTAAATTATTATTATACTGTGGCTTTATTTCATAAAACAACATGTATGTTACTATAATAGGAGAGGGCACTGGCTTCTGTGACACAGGTTTACCTAGCACAGAAGTCAGGGACTTCATACACTATCTGTACTGTTACGATAAAAGGAGTATATTATATTATTGTTGATCACTTTTTGGTCTGTATGTTAATAAACCTGATTACTAATCGGAGGGTGTGGGTTTGTTACCCATCCAGGACAAATGACTGTGTGATCAGCACCTTGGTTTGATCTGTATCCAGGATGTAATTTATTTCTCACACATATGTATTTAAAAATATATAAGTATGTCTATCAGTAGTCTCTGTATCTAGACTACTGATAGACATAGACTCTGCCTGTTTTTGGTATCAGATGATTGTGTGGCAGATGTGTTAAGTTATTATTTATTGTTATTTAAATATATAAGACATGAAAAAATCTTTAATTGATTTTCAAAGGTTTTATTCATTTGTGTAACTTCTCTTACTTTTTTATTCACCAATTAATTTTCTTTCACAGGTGTACCGTTATGTTGTAGAAGACCACTATGAGTTGATTGCTATTGTCTCTGGAGTGGTGCAGACTGTGTTATACTGTGACTTTTTCTACCTCTACATTACTAAAGGTAATTATCAGCTAGTTGATAAACATCTTGATTTTAAGTACAGCCATGCTTTTGCATTCCTATTTTTAGGGCCTTTGATAGCATTAGGCAATAGCCTAACGCTATCTGTCAATAGACAGTGGTAATTGATTTTGAAGGTTGTCAGGAAGTAAGAGAAAATGATTGTTTTTCTAATGTATTGTCTGAATGCAAACATGTATATACAGTAGAACATACCTAGATTACTCTAACTCAAACCTAACTGCCATCAACAGCTTTCAAGATTAACAATTAGTAAATATTTAGGGATCAAAAAGCGTAACAGCAATTATTATCTTAATGCATTTGTATAATACAAATTCAGTTCAATATTACATTCATTTTCCATTTATATATCACTTATCTATTTACATCTAATCAATTTTGATAAGCTATTTGTCACAAGCAGTATGTAATAAATATACAAATGAAATTTAGGCAAGGCTTGATTATAAATATCATTTTATTATACCACTAGTCATTCTTCATAGTTGCACATGTGTTAAGGTAAACAGTTCTGCTTCCAAGAATTGTAGTGTGTTGTTAAATATTTTGTAATCTTAGTCTATTGTTTTCAAAAATAAATACTGACTGGTTCCAGAGATTTGCATTTTCAACCCCATTTCAATTACAAGGACTAGTAGTTGAAATGGGGTTTTCATAATTTACTAAGTTAAAAAGAAGTTTGCTGAAGAAATTCTGGCATAATAAATTATCTTCAGAAAATATTTGTTCAATTGTAAGCATCTTCACACCTGGAGAAATATAGTACAATGCTATTACACTCTGTTTGCACTCTGCACCCATACATAGATATATATACACACACATATCCACATATGCTTGCATACAGACAAGCAACCAGGGAGAGGCACAACATTTGGCAATGGTGTATTCCAAGTACATTATGAAAAATAACTGTTCTTTAACACAAGTAACTACATATTCTAAATCATTGAAGTGGCGGTGCTTATACCTAAATTCAAGTTTCAAGTATAATACAATGACAGATTCTAATTGATCAAATGTAAAACTGTACAGTTAAACAGTTTGTGTTCAGTATATAAATGTTGCTCACCCCAAACTTTGTGTAAACATAAAGCTTCTTTTCCTCTGAATTGGTACAATATACTTACCAAAATTGACTTGACATATGACAATTTTTTTTTTCAGTATTGAAAGGAAAGAAATTGCAGTTGCCAGCTTAAACCAAGGAGAATGAGGATTTCATTAAATCAATCTGACACTTATGTCTGTGAATATACTTGTGTGAGCCTATAAATTACCTAAGATCTAGTTGTACAAACATTACCTGTATTGTACTGTTGTGAAAATGTTGATTTACTAATGGCAATTATGTGTGATTGTGTCTTTCCATTAATATGTACAGCCACAAGCAATGAAAAATGCTCATAAAACAAATTTTTATGTCTACCAAGTTCTGTTACCATCACAAATGTTATTGGCTACTGTACATAACTGTTTAACTATTTGTAAAACTTGTAACATACAGGTTGATTAATAGAACATTTTGTATTTATTAAACACTATTAGGTATTAATTACATTTAATACACATTTTTTTGAAAACAATCCTAGTTGGGCTTTCATTCCTTAAAGACAAGGCGAAAATTGTTTCCATAATATAATATTGAATATTTTTAGGTAAAACATTAGTGATAAATTATCTATCTATTATGAATTACGTGAGTTTTGTAGAATTAAAGAAATCTATATATTTCAAATGTCATTAGGTTGTCAATGAAATAGCATTGCTCATTACGAAATTTTGGAGAAGTAAAATAGTTAATAATAATATCGTTTATTTCTCACCAAAACCAAAATGCATACAATGAAAATACGATTACGCTACAACATTTGACAATTTCGGTAGTGGATCGCTGGTGCCTGAGGTAGGTATAAAAACCATTGTTAAATACCATAGTGTACACTTGTTTATGTTAAAAAATTGGTGGTGAAAAATCATGTATTAAATATATTTTATTTATGTTGCCATGAGCCAATTCTTATTGTTCGTGACTGTACTTAATTTAATTATGGTTAACTAATGTAGTTACTGACAATATTTACAGTGCAATTTAATTTATAGCCACCTATTAACTTGCCTTTGCGAATAGTCAAATAACATTTTTAAATGTAATACTAAAATAGGTTGTGTATCTACCTGAAAGATACATATAATTAATATTGTTTAATTGTACTTGCCATTCTAAACTGGGCAAGATGTGTCATGGTAAGAACTTTAAACAATGCTTAATCAGTAAGGAATAGTAATATTATACTTATAACTCGCATCATATGTATTTGATTTCCACCATTATTGTTTACGCGTAAATTTAGACCAACCTTAGTATTATGTATTCCATAGTTGATGGCGTTGTGTGAACTCGCCGTGTCTGTCTCCTATTCATGGCATATCAATGTATGGGATGTCAATTATTCCATTATTCTATCACTCCTTCCATACATTGTCACACAACTATAACTGAATAAAAATACATATTAAGTGTACCTATGTTAACGATTTATTTTATTTTTTATTTGAACATAGGAAGTCGATTAGGGATTTCTTCTATTCTACTATTCATTAATCTTATTCCTGTTTTCAGGCTATCTTGACTATTTGTGACGATTAGCTGAATGTTCTTTCTGATATGTAAAGAATTTTATCTAATCTGTATTCTAACCTTTTTGTAGTATTCATGCTCCTTACTAGTATTTTGGCTTTTACAGGAGATTTAAAACATTATATCGTATCGTGTTCAGTCATTGCAAATTAAGATGAGATAAAACAAAAAACTGACATCAGTTGGCATTACCATTAAATGATTTCCATTAGGTAGATCAAAGACGGTATTTTATACAGATTAGTCTTAAGATCTTACTGTAATAATATCTTGCTATAAGAATTTCCGAATAAATGAAATTTAAAAGTGAATTTGACTTATTATTCTTAACGAAATCTACTACAATTTGTCCTTTAATGAAGTAATTAATAGACAAGTAAGGCTAATCAGAAATCGTGTTCGTAAAGCGATAATAACGACCTCATAATATAAACTGCAAGTGTACCTACTGATTTTAATTGCACAATTGAATGTGGAAAAGAATTATTTGTTACATTTTATACAATCGATAATTCTTCCACTTCTTGAAGGGCAAGGCAAGGGCAAAAAAATCTGGAATTAACGCGCGCGCGGGGGTTACTCGCGCGGGGTTACTTGTGTAGGTACAGACATGCGCAACTGTTTGACTGACAGAAACCGGTTTAGCGCAACAGTTTTGCGCAGGTTACTTGCTTCGCCAAAAGGACTATGCGAGCGACTTGATCATGTAACCCGCTCGAGCAGCATGCACATGATATCAATAAAACGTACAAGTAACTCGTACATGCTACTGACGCAAATAACATTCTCTTTGTCCGCTCTAGCTATTTGCACCATTGAATTAAACAAATAGATAAGCAGATCTCATTACCACACTTCGAAAAAAAGTGTAACCAGTATTGAACTGTGACGCCGTAGCTTTGAAACCATTAGACACACATAAGTCTCACTTACACGCGTCGCAAGAACAATACCATCGCTAGGATTAGACAAAGACAAACAAATAAACATATCCGCCATCGCATATTTATTTGTTTGTGACAGTGTTGACTACCATTTGAAATCTTAGCCACAACAACCGATTTTTGTAATTAATTTTAATTTTTGTAACCGAACGAATTTTGTAATTAAATAAATAAATAAAATTATTTTAAAAATGTTTATCGAATGGAATAGCCACGTCTAATAAATTAATTAAACAGGTTTTCTTAGATTACTTATATATATACTATTGTATATTCTATGAAGCATCAGTTATGTACCTATACAAATTGTCTTTTAGACTCTACCCCGACTTCAGAAATATCTTAAAAGATTTACTTACAGAAATAAATATTTATCATTTTTTGTAAGTTTAAGTGATTACAGTGAAATTAGTCTCGAGAAATTTTTGCATATGTAGTGGTGTGTATATTACTCAGATCTTAGAGCGCGTTTCCACTATATCGTTCTGGCCTATACAAAAATGTTTCGATATCCTAACATTACTATTTAATTTTATACTTATCCCTAGGAACACTCTGATTTTTGTTTTCAATAAAAACAAGTTTTTATTTTAAAGAAAAAGGTTTTGACTTTATAAAAAAAAAGGTGTGTGTGCGATTCACACACGATAGAAGTGAAACTTCAAAGAGGAGAAACCGATATTTAAATATTTTTTTTTTTCCTTTTTTTTAAACTTTTTTACAACTCCGGTTTTTAAAACTCCGGGGGGTCAAAATTTTTGTTATTTTTGGCCTAGGACGCACCGTTTCCGAGATATTTCAATCTAAAGCAAAAAATCGTCACTTGATAGTGGAAAGTGGAAACACGCACAAAACCAGAATAAACCAGTTTACGCTGTCCGCTACCATACACTACTACAAACGCAAAAATTTCTCCAAGCTGATTTACCTGTACTTTACTTTTATGGTACCATCTTATTTTTACATATGTACGAATAAATAATTACAGTACTTAATAAAAGGAAGTGATCAACTTGTATTGATGATAAAATAATCCTCAGGGTGTATTATTTTCAATATTATTTGCATTCGATAAACTACTAATAAATTATACTTCGATGAGATGTTTAGGATCTGTCTCTATCAGCTAGATTTAAAAACCGGCCAAGCGCGTGTCGAGACACATATTATAAACATTTCACATTAACGGTGTGGAGGAACGGTGTCATGTCCCTCCAACACAAAGGGAAGATCCGCCGACCAGACGAGATGATCATGCCTGGCTGGCCGCGACCCAACGGTTGATGTTGGGTAGTTGTATAATTATATACTAATCGGCTAGAGAATTCTTCAGGAATTAACAGAATTCTCATTCAATAGTTACTCCGTAGTTCGGTGTAGTATGTTTCTTCGTATGTGGGAGTCGCCACAAGGGTTTCGACGACCTCACATCAACAGCCTTTACTAGTCCACTGCTGGACATAAGGCCTTTCCTTAGAAAGTACGTTTTGGCTTATAAGGCCGAATTAGTTTGTCGACTATTACTCGTAAGGTACTTCAGATCTCCAAAAATAATATAGGATAGGAGGAGTGGGGAGGAAAGGGCACTTTACTGTAACAAATATCAGTGCTTCAAAGCTTAATATCTCACAAACGAATACCTTAATCAAAATATGTCTTCGTAAACCCTTTTTATTTTTAAAAGACATATCCAGTGGCATCCTGCATCATGGGATGGATGAATATAAAAAATAACATCCCCACTTAAAAAGTATTTTAATTACCCTAAAAATACAGTTAAAAGATTTTAATTTACTACTTTGCCGGCGTGATTAGTATCTGTGTCTGTGAGATATGACACACACACACATGTAAATCAGTTTCACAAGTTAAACTTTAAGTAATTTTCGTAACCTTAGCACATATCCCACATAACCCATTATGTTTACTTTATTACAGGGGTTTTCTTTCTTGCAGCCCTTTGCAAGTCAAGATCGTAAAATGAAGAGATGCAAAATGCAAAGTGAATATAACAATTAAATTCTTATGAGCCTCGCAGTTCCAAAGGATTACACGGCTCGCAATATTTAGCAGTGTGTAGATATTTACTCGCAACCAACCATGTAGTCCGTTGGGAATGACTTAACAGGGGTACTTAATTAGACACCCGAATATTCTTTTGAACGTTTATTAGATATGTTAAAACATAATACACTCTTACTACTTTTCAAATAAGATTGCTGCATATTTGTGGAAATCTGCTACATGAACTTGTTCCTGAAAAAAAAAGTTTTTTTTAAGTCAGTAATTCTCACTACTGCCTCAGTACAGTACATACACACTTGCAACATCAGTTGTGTTATCTAATCAGATATTTTAGTTTTTATTACGCTATATGGTAGTTTTTAGGGTTCCGTACCTCAAAAGATAAAAAAGGAACCCTTATATTATCACTTTCTTGTCCGTCTGTCCATGTGTCACCACCGATTTTCTCAGGAACGGGCAGACCTAGCAAGTTGAAATTTATCCCAGATACTGAGGTTAATGGTCCCTATTGGGTGTATATAAATCAAAGTCCTGAGTAAACATGATAAAAAGATATGGGCAAATTTATATTTTCGCAAAAACTTGTAACTTTTAACTTTAATTTTCAACTTTTTTATTTTTCAGAATTTTCTCTTTACTTGTGCTATAAGACCTTGCTTTTAACCAAAATTGACAATTCTAGGTCAACCGGAAGTACCCTATAGGTTTTGGGTCGAAAACCTATATGATAAATTTGGCAAAAAGAAACGCCTTACAGCCCAAATAAAGGAATAATTAAAAAAAATAAAAAAAATAAATTAAATAAATTTTGGTACTTACAAAATGTTCGCGAAAATCTACGTAAAATCTGGGTGGGTACGGAACCCTTAGCGCATGAGTTCGACTCGTACCTGAAGGGTTTTTTTATACAGTGGAAACGAATTTTAGTGGATATAAAGTTACCCCCAACATGGTGCTGCTGCTCATTAACCTAAAGATTCCATTTTTAAGTGTCTCCTCACACAATATTGCTGTGTATATGACGCCTAGGTGCATATTATCCTTTATCTAAAAAAAAAAGAAATAAATTTGTAGACAAGATGTAAATCGCTGCAGCCCGAAAATCTAAATTCGTATTCGTCCTGCATGTTTTGACTAAGTTTGTCTAAAGTTAGGGTGATGGATTTTAATGTTCCTTACAAAAAATAATTTGCTACCACCATATACATACCTGAGGCTCGTGTGAAAGTGTAAAATCAGGAAGCCAAGCTGATATCCTGTTGCTTTCAAGTTTGTGATGCAGTAGTGTTGCTAATTCCTTCAACATATCTCTGCTATCTGGGCCTGAGTGAAAAAAAAATAGTATTAGTACTTATAGATTAAAGAATAAGTAATCACATTAATTATAGTAGCTACATTATAAATTAAATATCTAGGTCCCAATACTATCTAGACTGATAAGAGAATATCGTCATCATCAACAGCCTGTATAGTCCACTGCTGGACATAGGCCTCTTTATAGAAAGGAGGTTTTGGCCTGCTATACCATGACGGCCGGATAGGGTTGGTATAAGGTTTGTTCACGACTACGAGGGCGTCTCCCCCCCGGGCTGGGTGTAATCTGCTACGCGGATGACACTTTAGTCACGGCCCGGGGGGCTAACTTCCAGGAGGCGGCGCGCCTGGCCGCCACGGGAGTTTCCCTGGTGGTCGGGCGCATTGAGGCGTTGGGTTTGCGGGTGGCCCTGGATAAGACGGAGGCCCTATTATTTCATGGGCCCCGTCGTGGTCCGCCCGCCGGCGCCTCAATCGAGGTCGGCTCGGTCCTCGTACCGGTCCGGGCCCAGATGAGGTACCTGGGTCTGGTCCTAGACGGTAGGTGGCTCTTCGACGAGCACTTCCGACAGCTTGGTCCGAAGCTGGTGGACACTGCCTCCGCCCTAGGGCGACTTTTGCCCAATTTGGGCGGGGCCAGTGTTCCCACGAGGCGGCTGTACGCGGGGGTTGTCCGGTCCATGGCGCTTTATGGTGCACCGGTGTGGGTGGCGGCTCTGACCGCCCCGAATAGGGCGCGCCTCTGGCGCCCCCAGAGGATATTGGCGGTCAGAGCCATACGCGGATACCGCACGGTGTCCACCGAGGCGGCTTGCGCCTTGGCCGGAACACCCCCGTGGGATTTGGAGGCGGAAGTGCTCGCCGAAGTTTATCGGCGAGTGGCTGACTTCCGGGCGGAGAGCGGATTTCGCCCTCCGCCCGAAGACGTGCGCGAGTGGCGCGAAGCCGCTCGCCGAGCCACCATGGTCAGATGGTCGTTCCGGCTGGAGACTCCACGCGCTGGCTTCGCCGCCGTGGAGGCTCTCCAGCCGGTCATCGCCGAGTGGGCAGGGCGGCAGCACGGGACCCTTTCCTTCCGGCTGACGCAGGTGCTTTCCGGGCACGGTTGCTTCGGAAAGTACCTGTACTCGGTCGCTAGGAGGGAATCGAGTCCTGCCTGCCACCACTGCGACTGCGGTGAGGATTCGGCCCAGCACACGCTGGCGGTTTGCCCCGCATGGGCGACGCAGCGCCGGGCCCTCACTGCAGTCATCGGAGCAGATCTCTCGCTACCGGCCGTAATTCGCTCCATGGCCGGTAGCGACGGTTGTTTTACCGCGGTCGCAACCTTCTGCGAGGAGGTAATCTCGCAGAAGGAGGCGGCGGAGAAGGCCCGGGAGGACGACCTCCACTCGGACCTGATCCGCCGCCGGCGAACCGGGCGGCGGAGGCGCGCTCACCTGCGCCTCATGCCGCCCTGAGTGTGGCCGCGGGTGGACGAGATGGGTTCTCCCCTCCACCCGCATTAGTTGGCCAGCCGCGAGGGGGCGGCGTCCGCGTGTGCCGGACGCCGCCTAAAGAGAGGAAATTTCGAGACGGAGCCCGCAACAGGAGCGGGCCGGCGCTGGGAGGGGTCCAGAAGGCGATAACTACCTGGACCCCTCCTAAACTGGAAGCGCAAAGAGGGCACACCGTGTGTTTTAGTCGGTTCGAGTCCGACACACCGCCCCGCCGAACGAGAGCCCCGGCGGGGTGACGGTCCGAGGGGATTTCCAAACGTAAAAAAAAAAAAAAAGGGTTTGTTCACGACGGCTCATTCCCCGCCCTTGTCGCTAAGAGACAAGGGCACTGGATATGTTGCCGTCGAGTGGGGGGGGATCACCATATATGGTGTTTATTTCTCCCCCAACCGGAGTTTGAACGACTTCGAGGTTTTCCTAACCAGCTTGGAGACCTCGATACGGCGACTAGCGTCTGGGCACGTCCTTGTGCTGGGGGACTTCAACGCAAAGTCCATTGCGTGGGGTTCCCCCAGGACGGACGCAAGGGGCGAGGCCGTAGAGGAGTGGGCGGCCTCGGTGGGCCTCTGTCTTCTCAACAGAGGCTCCACCAACACGTGCGTGCGACAGCAGGGGGGGGTCGATAGTGGACCTTTCGTTCGCTACCCCTGCCCTCGCCGCACGAGTAAGGAACTGGCGTGTCCTGGAAGAGGTTGAGACGCTCTCGGATCACCTGTATATCCGATTTGAGCTCTCCCGGACCCAGGACTCCAGTAGGGGTCACGTGGCGCGGCGTTTATCCCGCTTTCCGCGGTGGGCTGTTGCCAGACTGAACCGGGACCTACTAGAGGAGGCAGCAATTCACTCGTGGCTGTTTCCTCTGGCTCCGACCGAGGAGGTCGACGTGGGGGCTGGTCGCTTTCGCGATGCGATTACGCATGTATGCGATGCGGCCATGCCCCGCATTCGAGGTCGTCGGCCTCCAAGGAAGGAGGTCTACTGGTGGTCCCAGGAGCTGGCGGACCTCCGTGCGGCCTGTACACGTGCCCGGAGGTCCTACACGCGCAGTCGGCGGCGTCACCGTGGAGACGGTGAGGAGGACCGGCTTCATGAGGAGTACCGACGGGCGCGGAAAACTCTGAAGCTGGCCATTAGCCGCGCCAAAGAAGAAAAGAGACAGGAGATGCTGGAGGGTCTTAATCGTGACCCCTGGGGTCACCCTTACCGCGCGGTGCGACAAAAGCTCCGCGCGTCGGGCCTCCCCCCTTACGGAGACTCTCCAGCCCAGCTTCCTGCGAGAAGTGGTTGAGGGCCTTTTCCCACAACGAGCGGAACACACTCCCCCGTCGATGGCCTCCCTGGCCGGAGACGACGGGGAGCACGGGGAGGATAATGTTCCGCCCGTCCGGGATTCGGAGGTAGGGGCGGCTGTTCCACGGATCCGTTCCAAGAACACCGCCCCTGGGCCAGACGGGGTACCGGCCCGAGTGCTGGCCCTGGCCCTCAACCACATGGCAGACCGCCTCGGGGAGGTGTTCGACGCTAGCTTGGCGTCGGGACGCTTCCCTGAGTGCTGGAAGAGCGGGAAGCTGGTCCTATTGAGGAAGCCGGGACGGCCTGCCGATTCGGTCGCGGCCTATAGGCCCATCGTGCTGCTGGACGAGGCGGGCAAATTGTTTGAGAGGGTTCTTTCTGCCCGCATCGTCCGGCACCTCTGCGAGTTGGGCCCCGATCTGTCGGACGCCCAATTTGGTTTTCGGGCGGGGCGTTCGACAGTCGACGCCGTGTTGCGCCTGAGGGCCGTGACCGAAGAGGCCGTGAGCTGTGGCGGCGTGCTGTTGGCGGTGTCATTGGACATCGCCAACGCATTCAATAGTCTGCCATTCAGCTGCATCAGGGAAGCACTCCACTATCATGGGGTGCCAAAGTACCTGATGCGGCTAGTGGCAGACTATTTAGAGGAGCGTACCGTCGTGTACGAGGACCGAGAAGGTAATCTGAGGTGTCGGCCCATGTCGTGCGGTGTTCCACAGGGGTCTGTTCTTGGACCCCTCTTGTAGAACATAGGGTACGACTGGGCCCTTCGCGCCGATTTCCCCCCCGGGCTGGGTGTAATCTGTTACGCAGACGATACCCTGGTGACAGCCCGGGGGGCAAACTTCCAAGAGGCGGCGCGCCTGGCCACAGGGGGAGTCTCCCTGGTGGTCGGGCGCATTGAGGCGCTGGGCTTACGGGTGGCCCTAGATAAGACGGAGGCCCTGTTATTTCATGGGCCCCGTCGTGGTCCACCCCCTGGCGCCTCAATCGTGGTCAACTCGGTCCTCGTACCGGTTCGGGCCCAGATGAAATATCTGGGCCTGATCCTCGACGGGAGGTGGCTCTTCGACGAGCACTTCCGACAGCTTGCTCCAAAGCTGGTCGGCGCTGCGTCTGCCCTAGGGCGACTCTTGCCCAATATGGGTGGACCCAGCGTCGCGACAAGACGGCTGTACACGGGGGTTGTCCGGTCAATGGCACTGTACGGTGCACCGGTGTGGGCGGCGGCTCTGACCGCCCAGAATAGGGTACGCCTCTGGCGCCCTCAGACGGTAATGGCGGTCAGAGCCATACGCGGTTACCGCACCGTTTCGACGGAGGTGGCATGCGCGTTGGCCGGAACTCCCCCGTGGGATTTGGAGGCGGAAGTGCTCGCCGAAGTTTATCGGCGAGTGGCTGACTCCCGGGCGGAGAGCGGATTTCGCCCTCCGCCCGAGGATGTGCGCGAGTGGCGCGAAGCCGGCCGGTCATCGCCGAGTGGGCAGGGCGGCAGCACGGGACCCTTTCCTTCCGGCTGACGCAGGTGCTTTCCGGGCACGGTTGCTTCGGAAAGTACCTGCACACGGTCGCTAGGAGGGAACTGAGTCCCGCCTGCCACCACTGCGACTGCAGTGAGGACTCGGCCCAGCACACGCTGGCGGTCTGCCCCGCATGGGCGGCGCAGCGCCGGGCCCTCACTGCAGTCATCGGAGAGGATCTCTCGCTACCGGCCGTAGTACGCTCCATGGCCGGTAGCGACAGTTGTTTTACCGCGGGCGCAACCTTCTGCGAGGTAGTAATCTCGCGGAAGGAGGCAGCGGAGAGGGCCCGGGAGGACGACCTCCACTCGGACCCGATCCGCCGCCGGCGAACCGGGCGGCGGAGGCCCGCCTATCACAGCCTCATGCCGCCCTGAGTGTGGCCGCGGGTGGACGGGGTGGGTTTCCCCTCCACCCGAATTAGTTTGGCCAGCCGCGAGGGGGCGGCGTCCGCGTGTGCCGGACGTCGCCTAAAGAGAGGAAAATACATTGAGACGGAGCCCGCACCAGGAGCGGGCTGGCGCTAGGAGGGGTCCGGATGTCTTAACAACAGCTGTTCCCGGATCCCTCCTGTTACGGGCGCAGAGTGGCACACCGTGTGGTTTTAGTCGGTCCGAGTCCGACACACCACCCCGCCGCAAACCCCGGAGGGGTGACGGTCCAAGGGGATTTCCACACGATAAAAAAAAAAAAAGGGTTTGTTACAAGTTGTTCTCCTCTTTCCAGTGCTTTTGTCCTGCATAACTTGCTCGCTTAGTCGGCTGAGAGAATATAATTATTACCATTGCAATCCAATGCAAAAGAAATTTTGAACGGTGCAGTTTTTCTATGCAATCTCAAATATTGATCTCCTGAGTTATTATTCATTCCATCCAATAATAAAATGTATAATGCATTTTCTAATGACATACTACAGCACAAACATGAAGACTTTTCCTGTAAACACAATATATAAATTAACAAATGTGTAGATAGGTAAATTAAGGATAAAACAAGTCTTACAGACTGCAAGTCTCTCTCGTTTTTTATTACCATAAGTTTTAGTAGTCACATATGATGTGTAACTTTTGACATACATGGAACCAGTACATCAACTTGCCGAACTTTGCGTTCGGGTTGCGATTGCTGAAGACTTCAATGCCCGTAAGTCGCAGCGCCGAACGCGGTCGCCGCGCAAGCACATTGGTCAATACAAATATCACTCTTTTTCACAGGAATGGAAAATCAAAATTTATAATGTCTTACATTTTTTTTGAAGATAATTGCTACATTTTCAACTGCTTGGTCTCCACATGGCAATTTAGCAACAATATCTACATTCGCTGATTTCTCTTCATATTTAATGTCATTTATTGAGAATAATCCTGGTGTAGTGGATATCTATTAAAATAAATTTCATTAATATACATTACTTCTCACTAAAACAATAACTACTTTACTAATTGTAATTATTAATACCAAATATTTAATACTAACTTTTAAAGGATTTCAACACTAGGTGAACATTCCATTTTCTTCTTTTTCTTATAAAGTAATAAACAAATTGTTGTAAAAGATAGTAAACACTGATTTATATAGTTATATCTGAGTGTAAAACAGTGTGATAGAGTTAACATCAATACACCTGAGTTTTAAACCAAATTAAATCAGTGTCATTGTTTATATCAAGTACAGGTAAATTAGCTTGGAGAATTTTTTGCGTTTGTAGTAGTGTATGGTACGGACAGCGTAAACTGGTTTATTCTGGTTTTGTGCGTGTTTCCACTTTCCACTATCAAGTGACGATTTTTTGCTTTAGATTGAAATATCTCGGAAACGGTGCGTCCTAGGCCAAAAATAACAAAAATTTTGACCCCCCCGTAGACCCCCCGGAGTTTTAAAAACCTAGATGAAAGAAAAAAAAAAAAAAAATTTAAATATCAGTCTCTCCTCTTTGAAGTTTCACTTCTATCGTGTGTGAATCGCACACACACCTTTTTTTTTATAAAGTCAAAACCTTTTTCTTTAAAATAAAAACTTGTTTTTATTGAAAACAAAAATCAGAGTGTTGCTGGGGATAAGTATAAAATTAAATAGTAATGTTAGGATATCGAAACATTTTTGTATAGGCCAGAACGATATAGTGGAAACGCGCTCTAAGATCTGAGTAATATACACACCACTACATATGCAAAAATTTCTCGCGGCTAATTTCACTGTACATGATTTCTATGTATAACATTTATGTTTAAAAAAAAGTTATCTATCAGTCAATGATGATGATGATGAATCTATCAGTCAATCTAGCTTTCATAGTACAAGTTCTGCTTAGTTTGAAACTAGGTGGCGCTGTGTGTTAGATGGAGACTAAAATATACACACAGCTGCAGAAGTCTGCCTACCTTTTAGAGGATATACATGTAAAAACAAAAAAAAACAAATGTCAGACTAGTTCCTTGGTGAATCTCAATAATATTAATATAGGACAACTTGGTATCTAGGCCTATATTGTATAAATAAAGCATATTTTATAAGTGAGGTTTGACAAATCAGTATAAAGTAAAATAACTAAATAATGAAAGATTATATATATATATATATATTATATATTTATAAAATAAAAATATATGGGCAATACTTACAGAACTCCACCAATATTTCCTATATCTTTGCCATTTTATAAAATACTGCATAGCATCTTGTTGAGGCACCATCAAATAAAACTGTAGGTTTGATTTACTCAATTTACTAATATGTTCATCCATAAAATTATATTTAAAAAAAAAATCTTCTTTAAAGTCTTGTGGATCCTGTTTTATAAAACCAAATGAAGATAGTGGCTTATTCAATTTCTTATAAGAATTATTTAAATAAACAGGTACATGTTTATGTGTTTTAGCATAGACATATTGTAACCAATTCATATGAATGTTTTTAATGAGCATTAGACTAGGTTGCTTTAAATTGTATGTAACAAAGGTATCATTATATTTTGCTATTTTAAAAAAATGTGCTAGTTTGAATAAATTTTTGACTTCAGTTTTCATTTTCATTCACTTTAATTTGTATGTCTTCAATTTCCACTTCATGTAATGGTATATTGCCTATTGGCGCTACAAAATAATCATCCTCTTTCACCACAGCATTCTTTAAGATATCTTTCTGGCAGTTTCCTTGAGTAATTTTGTCTTCTCTTAATGTTAAGTTCCTGTAATAGACAAAATGACATAGTTATGAGAACAGTCATTGGTAGTGTGATAATTGTGATAGTGATTCTCAAGTGACTAATGCACGGACGGGGTAGTGGTGTAAGCGGTCGCCACACTGCTTACTACTAAGCTGAGTGTTGTGGGTCCCATCCCCACATGGGACGACACTTTGTGTGATTCACAAATTGTTGTTCTGAGTCTGGGTGTTCTTTGTGTCCGTTTCATGTATGTGTGTAAAGTTCCTCGCTATACAGGATATATTCTTCATGCGGGAGTTGTCTTTTAAAGAAAAATAAATTACCTTTTCCCTTACCTTTAACTACCCCTTACTAATAACCTTTACCTTAGATTAGATATTTGTGTGTTGTATAATAACCATTCCTTAATTTAATTGTTGTGTGAAAAATAATAGGGTAAACTGCATAATTATATTAGATTAGATTTATTAAATATTGCCTTACATTGTTAGACAGGGCTTATATGTTCAATGGGATTTTGCTATCTAAACAAAATTAATTCTATTTCTATTTGTTTGTAATATCTTTGTTGTTACTTTACTCTAATGTTTTACCTTGCCTTATTTGTGCTGTTGGTATTCCGAACAAAATAATAAAAAAAAAAATACCAAAAGATTAACATAAATTTAAATCTTTATCCCCAAAGAGGTACACAGAAGCATATTATTAACTACTACTACCAACAAAGTGGCGGTAACCTAGTGGTTAAGGCATTGCACTTGCGATGAAGAGGTTCATGGGTTCAAATCGTGACCAGTACACTACCGAGGTGAACTCACACTTAACACAAACAACAGAAATACTAGTAATTTCGATTGCTAAATGGGAATTACTAGTATTTCCATTAATCCTTGAAAAAAAGAAATGTATTTTTAGTCCCATTTGTGTCTGAAAAAGTATTGGCATCTGGCAGTAGGCCAGCCATAAAAAATACCCAAAACCCTTAACATTGTTTTAAACAAAGTTAATGTTAGAAAAGGCAATTAAAATTATGTTGATATTACTGTCATCATTATAAAAAACTATGTGATATATATGGAATGCAATACCTTAGTCAAAAAATGTGATATAACTTTTGTACTAAATACCAAGGAAATTTATTAGTGCTAGAAATAGACTGCAAATATGTACACTACTACTTACTTATCCTCCAATACTGAGTATAGGGGCTCAACGCCTGTAGTGTTAATATGTAATATTTTATTAGCAAAAGTGATAGAATCTTCTAAAATTTTAACACCCTCGGGTGTATCATACTTCACTAATGAAAGTCTTTCTAATAGTGATATGGTATTTCTATCAACTTTAGCTGGACCATAATTTTCATTTTCTAAAGTTGAAACTGGTGTTAAGGGTACTTTAGAATTCAAATTTCGGCGTAAAGCATTCATTAAATGCCAGTACCTGGTAGTTCGAGTAGTAAATATAAATATCATATTACTTAAGCTTTTCTTTAACTTTTATGGTATTCAGCCAATATTACAAAATTTTCGCTTTTGTACCTAAAATAGCTTAGCACTTCTGCCATATACACACTCTCAAATCAGTTAGATATGAGTTAAATGAAAATGTAAGAAATAAATTTATCTATCATTTTCTGACAATTTGATAACTTTGAAGTATTAAAGTGTTGCCCCTAAAAGACCACGATTCGATTAAAAATGACAGATACTTATTTAAAAGGCAGTGAAAACCTTAAAAGCCTGAACTTTTTTTACTCCATTTTTTTTCCATGTTTAGGGTAAATGTGGGATAGTTGCCGCATTTTTTGAAATAGGCAAATAAATGATAGAATATGAGTTTTCTTAACAATTACATGATTGTGATGTGTTGTGTACTTATTAATGAAATAAATAATTAAAGTAATTTAACATTAGTAGTTGTATTTTTTTTGGTACAAAAAAAAAGAGAAAGTTTTATAATCGAGGATAGATGCCTAAAGTGTGGGTTAGATGCCATAATGATGATTTGGCTTGTGGGATAGATGCCCTATGCATATAATAAAAGATTATCTTGGATTTATTTATTTTAATCAACAATTACTGTTACATTTTCATTTATAAACACAATCATCTTTGGTTTAATTGAAAACTGAGATCAATTTTAGTATCTAATAATACAATATTAGTATGAATATTAAAAATGGCAACTTCTGATACTTTTTAGACGATTGATCTAATTTAAATTTTAAACTATTTTATATTTTTTTCATGGCGTAATTTTAATCGCTGACAAGGATTACAGTAATCACCGTACATAGTACAAGTTTCATGCAGCCAATTTTTACACATGACGCACTGGATCCAGTCTGCCGTTGATTTAGTTTCCTCATAATTTTCAAAACATTCTAGACATACATTTGACGAATTTTCAAGAGAGTCTGACTCACTACAAGGGATTGCCTTTCGTTCACTAGCGTTTTTGATTATTCGTTGCTTTTTCTCAACAGCACGAATGGGACGTTGAATCACATTAAGCTTGAAGTTTCATTTCTTTCTTTTATTTTTAATTTCTTAGCTCTCTTCATATTTTTCTGTTTTACGTCAACATGAGATTCATTTTCTTTGAAAAATTCATCAGAATCATTTGTGGCAGATGAATCTGTCTCTTTTGAAGCTACTCTTGGCCTTTTTTCTGTCATCTTCCTTGGTCTTTTTACTTTACTACTTTTGCATGGTATGTTAGGAGTAGCTTTACCTTTGATTTTCTTATTAGCTATGTTTTCTTTGGAATTTAATACTGCAGCTGATTGTTTTCCTCTTTTGTATAAAGGTATCAGAATTTTCGGTACAGGGGAACATTCTTGCAAAAACTTGCTAGGTGTCTGCTTTACGCCTTCTTCATTTGGCTGCAGACAATGAGATTGGGAAAGAAGAGATGGAGAATCTTCTCTCGTTGTATCATGACTTCCACAATTATCATGTGTTTGATCAACATTTGTTAGTGTAGAATTTTGAGTTTCAGCCAAACCTGAAACCTTGTTGCAGTTTGATTCTGGCAACAACTGATTGCTACATGAGGGACCAGGTAATTGAAACGTATTTTCAGGTAAGATATCTTGTGGCTCATCACGGAGTTGATTGCTTGATGACAAATCGGAGATTGCAAAGAAACTTTCTGGAATAGCAGCCGGATTGTAAGGGTAAATACCGCAAGACCTAAAGCCCGAAATAGCATTAGAAGGCGTAGTCGCTCGAATCCATGCATTACCAATTAGCCTGCCAGCTATTAAACGGTTGATTTTTTTTTCTTTGTTTGTAAGCATCCAGTTCCTCGTCTCAGCTGCATAAAAAGTCTTAAATGGCTTGAAAAAGCTACGGTCTAAGGGTTGTAAAGCTTGCGTGCTGTGGCTTGGCAGACAAAAAAGTATTTTACCATTTTCTTCGGCAGTCTCGAACATTTCGACAGAGTTCGTATGAGAAGAATGCCCATCTAGAATCAAAATAACCTTACCTTGAGGCTTTCGTGGTATAAAATGCTGTACTAGTCACTTCTGAAATAACTCCGCATTAACATAGGCACCATAAGGAAGATAATAACAACAGGGCTGAGAAAATTTCCAGCAGCATTGCACCAAGCTATTATTGACATAGTCTCTCCCTTTTCTCCGGACGTTATTGAATGAACTGATTTTGTCCCTTTCATCACGATAACTTTTCCAGGACTATTGTTCAATTGAACCCCAGTTTCACCTATATTAAATATACGGTCTGGCTTGTCCAGTAAATCATTCTCTGTCAATACTTGAAGATAAAGCTTAAACATTTTATCGACTTCCTCACGATTAAGTCCCTGCGCTCGAGCAAGAGACAGACCTTCAGCTTGCCGAACGCTAAGCGTAGGTTGGCGTTCTAAAAAGGATTTTAGCCAATGAGGTCCAGCCTTGCCTGTCTCCTTATTAAAGTCATGATTAATGCCAAGTTTTTCAGTAAATTGAAACGCTAAACTTCGTACCGTATCTCGTGTCACAGGAAACCCAGCTGCTTCTAGTTTCTGAATGTGTGCGACGAGCCGTTTTTCGTTATCGAAGTCTAGAACGGGGTGTTTCCCTAAAAATAATAATAAAATCCATCAAAAATGAATAATTTTTTTTTTTGTATTTTCATTAAAATTATTTTAATATACAAAGTACCTAAAGTAAGTTTCGTAGTATCTTGTTTTGTGAATCGTCTTTTCAGGGTCCTGGCAGGAATTCCATAACGACGAGATATTTCATTCAAGCCATACTTATTCTGCCTTATTTCTTCAAAAGCTTCTCGTAGCGCATCTTCCGTCCATTCGCCCCGAGGGATTGCCCCCACTTTGCGCACGTACTTGCGAGGCATATCTACAATAAAAAAATCGATTAAAGTTTAATAAGGGATAGATACCTCTAAAGGCATCTATACTCACAAAAAATGAGGCATCTATCCTTTTTCGTTTAAACATGTTAAAACATACACAAATAATGAACAAAATCTTTTATTTGATACATCTACACTTAAATAAAACAAAAATATAGACACTTACCTCATAAAATCAAAAGTTTCGAGCGCATCAAAATTTGAGACGCACCAAATTCACGAATTAATTGCCGCAAAAAATATTCGTTGTCTCACAACTCGCGACACGTCCGTTCCAATTAAGTGCGTGGCACTGACTGAAGGACGGGCGGGGGTAGGGTTACATTAAAACAAAACACAACGGGTCTAATGTTTATATAAGTCGCTACGTGTTTACTGAGGCAACTATCCCACTGAGGCGTCTATCCCACATTTACCCTATTCTTATTAAGATTTTGTTTTTAAGTTATTGAAGGTTAACACTAAGTTTCAAGATCAAAATGTTAATAATGACATAATCATCAACATAGTGAGATTTTTAGTAAGATAAACGAATGATGTTTTAATTAACAAATATTAGACGTATTTAAATTTTATCCACTGGCAGCACTGACTTTGACATTCAAAAAGAAAACATAACCTGTACGTGTTAAAAACTGATAGTGTTCTTTCAATTTTTAGGTAACTTTAAGAAGCAAACTTTTGTTAATAGCAGGTAACTGAGTTCTATAAATGAATACCAGTTTAAGTATGTAATAATTTTCTACGTAATGTTAAATCCCTTTATGGGATCCCTGAATATTTTATGTTTTTATTCGTACAGACGTATTATGACATAATAGTATTATACGGTTATTGTTTCTGTTTCAGACAACATGAAAAAATATGCTCGTAATATGTTATACGACAAACTACACCGCGGCGGTGTGCTAGTTTGCATTGGTTTGACACTGTATGGGTCAGTGCTTCTCGGTGATCATTTCTATAAATACTTCAAATATGTCAAACCTCAGATTGATGCTGCGAAGAAGGCAGCTGAAAAAGAGTTATTAGCAGAAGGATCATCAGAAAGACTTGTTTAACTTGATCTCTTTAAATCAGGACATTTAGTGCTAACTTAAGTTGTTAATATTTAGTTCTTTTTGTGGTTAATTTATTAAATCAATAATCTTTATGTACCTAGTTTTTGTAATTTAGCATCACTATAATTTTAGAAAACTTAACAGTTATAAAAGAATGTTCGTCTATAATTTTATAATCTATCTAAATATGATTGTGTATGTAAATGTAAGTGGTCCATGTGGTGACAGATTAAGAATACAGAGTGTCACCCCCCTATTCATCCTACTACGCAGAACAATAGCACTGCAGAGTACAGGAAAACTTGACACAAGCCCTATACCAACTGTTGATGATGTGATGATTAGTTTGTACACAGTTTTTGTGCTTGAAGAAAGAAAATCATATATTTTAGGGTCACATAGGGTAAATAAGATTGCTCGTTTAGCACAATGCCACTGAGGAAGTGGCGATTTGCTGTTCTTATTTTTTTAATGCATTGCTATGCCAAGGGATATACTACAACAATCAAATGAGGGATATTAAAAAAAGAATTTTTAGCAAACAGCTATGACAGAAGCTATTTATTATAAAATTTGCATAACAACACACAAATAATTTCTCCTGAGAGCAATTTCTATGCTCAAATTAACATTGGAGTCAGGCGGAAAAATAAATGCAAATATTTACAAAATTTACAAAGTAACATGTTAGTTAGAAGAAAATAACTTACGAATAACGCAAAAACAAACTTTGTGGTATTAGTGTGAAACAAAACCTCTGCAACGAAAAAAAAGTCTTAGTAAAGTTCACAGTACACAATACAGATGGCGCTGCTTCTTAGGAAAAGAACAGCCGTTGTCGACTTTGTATACTGGACACGCAATTTTTTACTTTAGACAGCATGATTAAATGACTGACTCATTAATAAGCCATCAGCCATATCAAAAATTATGCTGTATTTGGTCATACAATGTTTGTAGCCATGGGTCGATCACAAATTGGTCGAAATGTCATGCAAGTAAATGGTATTTACCTAATAGACCTATTTCTTAGCGTTCCTTGGATTCACCGTGCGGTCTGCGGTGTCTGGTCTGGACGCTGAGGCACAGATTTCCTCCGGTATTCTGTAATGGCTAATAATGTCCAGTCCCTGGCAGTATTTATTATTGAGTACCTACGACTTTTGTGAAGTCTTTTTTGTTGAGCCTTCCTTTTCAAACTCGAGGTTAGTTCTTTTGTTTGTTGTTATTCTTTTTTTCGCCCTCATCACCATTTCAAAACTGGTGCGATACAAAATTCTCCGAGTGAACAATGATTGCATAAATTATTGCACTATTTGCAATTTAAACTTTTACTTAGAAAATAACTTTGGTCTTCCCGTTAGTATCACTTCAAGGTACAGTCGGTTAGGTGTTCAACAAGGGTGGCTGTATACCGGAGATGTGAGAATGAATAGATATAGAAACGAAGGGTACTGGTGATGTTGGCTTAAAACCAAATTATGTTTTAGGGAGATGAAGAAACTCCTAAGTGGTCCACAGTACAGGCAATAACATTTTTAGGCGTATTTATTTCTGATGTCTTTTCTACAGTCTACTAGCGTCATACTGTTGTACCCAAAAATATATCCAGACAAGAGAAGAGAAGGAGGGAGAGGTACCTACGGTTGACGGTACAGACACGAACTTTAGATGCATAAATGTTTAACTAGGATATTTTATTTTAAAGGTATTTGGTCTAAAGCCACAGTATAAGCGCCGCGCTGTATGGTAGCTCTCATCAGTGACTTTGTTTTTAGGGTTCCGTACCTCAAAAGCTAAAAAAGGAACCCTTTTATGATCACTTTCTTGTCCGTCTGTCCGTGTGTTACCACCGATTTTCTCAGGAACGGGTAGACCTAGCAAGTTGAAATTTATACCAGATACTGAGGTCAATGGTCCCTATTAGGTGTATAAAAATCAAGGTCCTGAGACACCGATAAATCACACGATAAAAAGATATGAGCAAATTTCGATTTTCGCGAAAACTTGTAAGTACCAAAATTTACCTTAATTTTCAACTTTTTTTATTTTTCAGAATTTTCTCTTTACTTGTGCTGTAAGACCTTGCTTTTAACCAAAATTGACAATTCTAGGTCAACCGGAAGTACCTTATAGGTTTTGGGTCGAAAACCTATAGGTATGGTAATTCCCGTTGACCTAGAATCACGAAATTTGGCAAAAAGAAACGTCTTAAAGCATAAATAAAGGAATAATTCCAAAAAATAAAAAAGTTGAAAATTAAGATAAATTTTGGTACTTACAAATTTTTGCGAAAATCTACGTAAAATCTGGGTAGGTACGGAACCCCCGGCGCACAAGTTCGACTCGTACCTGACCGGTTTTTTTTTTATTTTAACTTAATTTATTATTTCAGTTTACATTTATTCCGCATCTTATTTATTCTTTTCAAAAATTATTGCACTTATACAACTCCGTTATCCATGTGCTTAAAATGATGCTGTCAGCAAATGTATAGGGCCATCGATGACAAACCGTAAAACCTTATAGGTACCAGATAAACCAGTAGTTTATTAATTCTAAACAAACTCGTAGCTGTTATTCTGTATGATATTTCATGTCAAGTAGCACAAAAAATATTGATCAAGTCAAATATCGGTTAGTATATAACTACTGGCAAGCGATTTGACCTAACGTTAAACTCACCTACATATATGTGTGGTTACAAGAGTTTGGCTACAGTGACATACGTTTAATTAGCTAGGGTGACGGCTAGGCGTCTTTCTATGAATTACACATACCTAATTCTGCTATGATGTGATCAAAATCCGAACAGAGTTGTTAATCCATGTACCTAATTACTTTTCTAAAGAACAAATATTTTATCATTTTTGTCCTACTTTTACCTAAAGAATTTTTGCAAAGGTTTTTGGCTGGTTTTTTAAATAAAGCCTGTCTGGCGTAGCCCTCTTTAAAAATCAATCATTTCCAGACGGGACAAAAATACTTAAATTAAATTGGGCTAGGGAAAACAGATATGGCGATTGAGCTAGTAGTAGTAGAGTAAGAGTAAGAGTTAAGTCTCGAATGGAAACCGGGACAGAGACTGCTGTAGTTCGACCCATACTCGTCCTGTGATTTGAGAAACTACTATAACAGGGATATCGACTGGCTATAATGATGATGGAATTTTATACTCGTATATACAATATCATATACCAGTATTTGACCCAGTCTTTGCTGTTATTGATTTCGTAAAAGTCAAAGTAACTAAGCTGTGGTGAAAATGTGATATTCGGACAAAAGAGTTTTTAGAGCATATTTTGAGTTCAGATATTCATCAAAGATGCGTTTTGCACAGTATGCTTTACAAAAACTTACATAATTGGGGACAGTATACGCTTCTACAATATTTCTATGCAGTAAGGTAAGTAAGTCGAAAGGGATATTTAGTTTGCAGTAGTATCCGAAACAGTGAAAGTTGCCAAGGTGACCACTTAAACCACTATGCCCTATATGTAATGTTTTTCTTTCAGTTACTTCGGTTTTTGTGTTTTTTGTTTTCTAATTTAACGATTGCTTAATCTCTGTTAATGACCCATCACTTATATTTTTGTTTAAGTTAGTTTTGTTGTTATGTTTGTAGGGTTCGAAAAAAAATTAACGTTTGTCATAAATACGTCAAAAGTGGTTTACTTTTACCCAACTGCGCCAGAAGGAGGTTTATATTTTTCGAGTGTATGTATATTTCTTTGGCTCTGTAGCTTAAACGGCTTGATAGATTTTAATATTTGAGTTGTCGTTAGATTCGTCTTACTTGTGAAATTGACACTGGGTATATGTAAATTATAAAAATTAAAATCGGTTTGTATTTTCACGTATTTAGGTATTTTGATTTTTTTTTCAATAACTTTATTGAAGGACAGGCTTGTGTAATTCATGAAAATATTTTTTTTGGTATGTATTTTTATTTATTTTATTTTATTTTTACACTTCCTGCATTACAGTTTGCACGAGGCGGACTTAATGCCACATGGCATTATCTACCAGTCAACCATAAGATGGTTCAGTAAGGGACATGGCAGGTGCACATATATTATGTAATAAGAAGATAAGCTATGTATTTATCAATTTTTATGATCTACTAAAATTGTTTACAAGTTGACATAGAAGTTTAGATTGCCTATGAAAGGAACGTCTTCTTGAAGGGTACCTGCACGATATCCTTAAGAGAAAACGTGAGAGTAATAAATAGCTAGATAGGGCTGGTCACGTGCAGGTCGTCCCATTTATGCTTCTTGTGAACACTAAGGGAAGTGCTGCAATTACCTGTGATGGATAGTAAGAGTTAGATGCGGCCGTAAGGGTCGCGCCATCCATATAACTTTCTTATCTTCCTGTGAAGGGAAACTTTATGACATCTTTACGGGAATCGAAAAATATGGACGACCCTTGACATTAAAACGCCGACCTCGTATACCTAAATCCGATTTAAGAACTAAGGTTCTGACCACACTACAACGCTTAGCGACTAATCTGCTATTAGGCGTAACGTTTGTACACAGTTTAGGGACGGTTGAGTGTTAATTGCGGTCGGGTTGGAAAATATTCTGACAACGCATCAACCTGTTAGTAATATTAGAATAATATGTCCTGGAATCTAGGACACTGATTGAAGATTGAAACGGTAACTGAACACTATAAACAATTAGCTTAGAAATATTAATACGTGTAAGTTAATAGTAAAAGCCAAAGCAAAAAAGCGGGTCCCTTCCATTAATGTGAATGTTATTACAATGCAAACCTTAAATAGGTACAATAATATTATACAGAATTAGAAACGATGGAGGAAAAAAGCGTGTGGTTTCATTTGTGTATAAATACAAAACATAAACAGATAGTGAATGAATCATTGTATTTTTTTCTTTCAGCATGTTTTAAAGTTCCGATTTCAACTGACTGGAATCAGTTGAAATCGAAGTGGGAATGACCTATATTTAGTTATTACATAACTTAATCCTTATCTTCTAAAGAAATGACAAAGCCCCATTTTTTTACCTATGTACACCCGATAATTTATCAACTTCCTTTTTAGGTTCATTTAAACCCGCCCCCGTCCAAAATAATGACTGTAAAGTTTACTCGTAAATCTCTTATAAATTCTATTAAAAAGTGAGTTTAAACAATTTAAGTCAGAAATAGGAATCATAAAGTTGTATAAGAGTGCAAAAGCAATATTCTAATTAGGTACTTTGCTTTTTTTTGTATCAGCTGTTAGGTTAGTATTTTATTAGATAGTAATATATACATAGTAGTTTTTTATTAGGGACACAGCGGGATTTAAAATAATGATAATTTTTAAAATACGTACTTATTCCAATACATTATTTAGTCTTCAGTAGCACTGATAAAACTGTATTACATTACTTCTCCATGTAAAGGGCAGGCTGATGATCCCCTATATAGTGGGATTACGGGATTATAGTCTATTTTGCCTGAATGTGGGACAGCGCAATTTCCCTTTTTAAAAATCTTATTTTTACGACTTTTTACACACTACGAAACTTTGGTTGTATATTATATTATAAGGCAATTCTATATAACGGTGGAGATATAACGACATGATACTTTTCTCTCTATTTTTAAATAGTTCAGCTGTTTGTTTGTTTCTCTATTAGCTTTGAATCGGCTAATAGAGAAACTTATGTAAATAAATGCACATGAATAATTTTATCAATTGTAGAGTATACATTTATTTCTACTCCGTTTGGAAGCATTTTACACGCATCGAGAAATATGGAATTCGCCAACGTTTACGTTTATACCAGTTCTCATTACTTCTAAAATCAATCCCTCAGGGGTTCAGTTGAGAGTCTGAGTTATGATACATTTTTGGAAGTTTTACCAATTGGTTCAAATTATTATACTTAACCAAAAACTAGTTTTATCATCAGGTGTTAGGTCCCTTTTTTGAATGAAAGGTACCCTATATCCTTTACTTTATCTCTAGGCACGTATATGTAAAATTTCATAACGATCGGATGAACGACACATCAGAGCGTAAAATACAAAAAAAATAGACATTGATTTTTATATTTAACTGGAAAACATAATTAATAGCTGTAAGGTGATATCTGAGCGGTAAAATATTACGAAATTATCCATATTTTCCTCTGTTCGTCTATTTTATCCCCACAATCCAAAGTTTTGCTTTTCTGAATAATATTTCAATCACCGTAAGATAATTAGAGCTAACAACTAATTTTTAAATTAGATACCTACTTAGTTCCAAATTAGACGAATTTTAATTTTTTGTGGGACTCACCGACAGGTAGGTTGTGGTACTTTTAAATTATGGTGTATTTCTTTTAGACACTTACTAAAACTTTAGTTTTCATTTGAATGTCTTGTATTAGACAGTCCAATAATAACCAAAGTTTGGAATTAGGAACCGAAGTTTAGATCTCGAAGCCTAAAGGTTCTCAATTGCATTCTGACGCAATAAAATCTAACGCGTTAAAATATACTTAAATATTTTAATTTGATAACGAACACTTTGTTTTTGTCCGTGGCTTTTGATTATGTAAGCAGTGATAAACAATTGATAAAACCAATCTGTTACAAAATGCTTGTCGCATTGGAGTGTTTGTCGCTTTGTTAGAAAGATGTCTGTAAGTGTTCCGCGAGTTAAGTTCAATAACGGGTTGACCTGTCCTATCTTGGGGCTCGGCACATGGCAGGTGAGATATTTTATACTAGTTTTATTTAATAGGTGGCTCGTAGATTTTTTGGATATATGACCTCGAATAGGCATAACTTAAATATGGTACTTAAATATTTACTTACTTTAGTTACGTTATAGGTTAAAGTTACATATTTGTTTCATGTTTGATAGTTTAGTGTTATCGTATATCTACCCATGGAAATGTTAGTTAAAAACTTTTGATTTATTCACCTAAAGTATGCTTAATAGGATTGCGTTAGTATTACTTATAAAATTTGAAACACACTTATTAGCTACAGTCGTAGCATTTGTGAGTATGCCCACACTAGTTCAGGTCGGTTAGTTAAATTATATACCTACTTAAGTTCGTAGATAGCTCCGATTGATATAGAACCCAAGTTATTTGTTTGAATCCCATGGAAGGGGTTTATAAACCTTACTGGGAAAAAAAGGACAGACCCGTCTTTAGCTGTAATATACTACCGCTACAGGTGTGGTCCCTCTGGCTATCGTATTTATTAAAAAAAAACAGAGCATAAGGCTAGCAGCACTGTTTTTAAATTCAGACAAAAGAATGATATCTATTAACAAAAAAATTACTACCATTATTAATTTTGCTAAAATAATTCAAAAATTAAATGTACTGTTCCCTTTTTTATCACATTATCCTATTCGTGGGTAGGTACAATAACGAATATACACATACCTTCTATCTATACAAAAATGCCAAAGATCTCAATTAAACGAGACTGTATTTTTTTTTGTATGGCACTATTTATTTTTCTTTTTCTTTCCTGACCTTGACCTATGACTTTTATTAAGATGTAAGTTTGAAGGTTACCGTAAGTCACTAACATATTCGGACTTGATTAAGGGATAAATAAATAAGAATTTAAAAAATAGATAACCAGAAACATTACTTAACTTTTCACGACATCTCTGGTGCAACGGTATTCGAATGCCACGTCTGTGGCAGCGATATTAATAGAGCTCAGTGCAAATATTTGTATGCATGAATTTGTATTTGTGTTGGCCTAGGTGTTTCTGTGTATAATATGTTCGTTTTATTCATATAAGAAAATATACCTAAGCATGCCATTCGTGTTCTAAAATCCAGAGGTACCGACAGGTTCATCATCATCATCAACAGCCTTTAACAGTCCACTGCTGGACATAGGCCTCTTCTTAGAAAGGAGGTTAATCCTACGACAATATTACACATCGCTACGGGACATATTGTTAAGTCTCAAGAGTATATCTACATTTTTATTACACAAAAGCAAATGCCTAGTTGCCTGTCCTAGTGGCCTGCAGTGGCTCAGACCTCTTCAAACTACTGCTATTTCAGTCCCGTCCCAATTTGAGACTTGCGGTATCCTAAGGGATAGGAATAGGCATAGGGGAATGTGGTTTATACCACAATGTGCCTTATTTTTTATCTACTCTGAAAACTATAACTGTTTTAAAGAAGGGTTGGCCAAAACCTTTTACAAAAAACACGAAAATGAAGATTGTACTACACCCAAGCAAGACCATTGCTATTACAAAATGTTTATATCAAAGAAATAATATTAGATTCTACCAACAGTGCTTGAATATAACTTTGCTTTAGAAGGAAATATAGAAAACTGAATTAAATAAAAAATATAAAAGTCTGGAAGTAACTAGTAAGCTTCCAGAACACAGAACATAAAACGTTCATGCAACCTGTGGGGACGACTCGCATACATAATACCGTTGTTTGAATCATTTAAGAACGTCTCTGTATGTAAGATAGCTCTCACAGACTTTCAGATCTTTAAGATCTTAGGCCAAAAGCGAATAAATCTTAAACATTAATTGAGTATTTATTAACCATAAGTACGTGAGATAAATGAAAAAGAAATGAAATTAAAACTAATATTAGGTAGTTACTACTTTCTGTTTTGATTTTGTTTTTAATCTTCAGCCAGAATCGCACAAAAGTCAATGATCAAAATTGTTGAATATTTTTAGGCAGCGCCAGGCGAAGTGACCCGGGCCGTGAGCCACGCTATCGACATTGGCTACCGGCACATAGACGGTGCACATCTGTATTATAACGAGAAAGAGGTTGGACAAGCGATCAAGGAGAAAATTAAGCAGGGCGTTGTAAAAAGGTCAATATTATACGTCCATTCAGTTTTTATATCAAATACGCTGTTTGGTCTGGATAAGATCAGTAAAGTTCCAACTTCTTTTGGATTACTACTATTTCTTTTTAACGAACGACGTTGTTTTCTTTTCTATTGTCCTTAGTTTTCTAATAGTTTGTTAACTTTGTTAGGTACCGAAATTTCATTCCAGATGAATTAGCTTATGTTAAATTGAATTTAGTAAGTAGGTCGATACCTAAAATCTCCGTATTTATGTACGTCGCCTGCGACGAAGTAAGAAAGTAACAGGTTTATAAAAAGAGCCAAGTCAGAGTTCTTTCTTTAACCAAACTTGCAAAGAGAGGTGGTCGCTAGAAACAATAAACAAATTTCACTGGCCTTAGAAGGTAGTGTGGTACAATTCTGTTCTAACTTTCCGATTGCCAGGTCAGAATTTTGCCAATAGTGCGCAGTAATATAGATAGTTCAACCCGTCGTCCCGCAGGTTAATAGAATCGACAAACCCGCTAGTCATCCTGTAGTGTAAGTAGTAAGATCTCTGGAAGCGCTTTGGTACTCCAGGAAAGCGTTAGGGATATTGTCTAGACAGAACAGAAGTCAGAATCTCAAATGGACAAGGTAAAGGACAGAATAGTTCATTAAAAGACAGTGACAAGAAGAACGGACATTTTGTTATAGTTAAATATAACTATAACAAAATGTCCGTTAATTTATATAAGAACTCACCTTAGAAGAATTCGCTACCTCACAGTGTTCGCGACGCAGAGATAAGTGAAGAAACTAGTATTATAGATTTGAGTAGACTCATAGACACGAGAACAGTGACGTATCTCCTTATCTTTGTTTTCTTTTTTTGAGATATATAAATGTGAGTTTTGTTCTTGTGAGTAGTAGCTGTTGTTCTTGTTAGTTCCTATGTTGGTATTATTTATTAAAGATAAAAGATAGATGAATTACAATTGTTTTGTAAAACCCGCTTAATGTTCGCAAAAATATTTGATCTCTCATTTTCTTTAATGTTTTACAGAGAGGACCTTTTTATAACATCAAAGTTATGGAATACATATCACAGGGCGGATTTAGTAGAAAAAGCTGTAAAAATGTCGCTGTCTGATCTTGGATTGGATTATTTGGATTTATATCTCATTCACTGGCCCATGGCTTACAAGGTAAGCCCGTTTTTATTATTCTAAAAGTTGCTTAAAGCGACCTAAGCTTAATAACAAAGGGCAAGTTTATATTGAGTTATAAAATTTATTATTTAAAGTTAGGTTGTATTTTCGGGCATTATTAGTTTTATGTTATTAAACATTCAAATTCAATTTCTTTATTGGTGACCAGTTATTCGAAATAGTCGACTATCTTTCTCTTTTTTAAAATTAAAAATTAAACAGACCCAAAGTCACAGCAGCTACATGTTGATTTGTCACTTTTACGTGCCCTATACTGCTTTGGAGATGACTGTGGGTGGATAGGACGGGTTTTCCCTTCTACCCATTATCAGAAACCTACCAGTCCCTTTTAATTTTAGGCGCAGCATGGCACACTGTTCAGTCAGTTTTAGTCGGTTCGATTCTGATTCCGTGAGGGTTTCCACAGCTACAAAAAAGGGTTTCACTTTTTAGTTAGTTTACTGTGTTGGGTGAAAAGTTTAAATAGTGGAAACACCTTATATAACTTTTGTATTTTACTGGCATTTTTACTTGACGCTTATTTTTCTAAGGCATTAACTGTATTTTCAGTCTTGTGATGATGATGATAATGATTTTTGTGCTAAATCTTTGTCCACATTAGGAAGGCGATAATAATTTTCCATTGGATTCCAATGGGTTAGCGATTGCTTCTGACGCTGATTATGTGGATACTTGGAAAGCCATGGAGAAACTAGTTGAAAAGGGATTTGTAAAAAGCATTGGAGTTAGCAACTTCAATTCTGTGCAATTGACTCGAATTTTGAACGTGGCTTCGATTAAACCCGTGACCAATCAGGTGAGATTTAAAATTGATTGGAATATTTAAGTTCGATATGAATTTCACATGCGAAACGCTGCAAATTTCATACCAGTACTATAAAAGATGAATCCCAGGCACATTTCCTAATGGTCTGTTTTTGTTAGTAGTTGTGAGTACTTTTTTTTCATTGTTGTAAAGGATTTGATCTGCAGAAGCCACAATATCAAATCGGAAATTGTTATTTTAACATTGAAAAAAAACATACTAAATGTCAGAAAGATGTGTTGCATTGTACTTGTAAAAATATTCGTCTTATGTAGACTTATTTTTCTAGAATTTTAATTTAAACTGCTTATGTGAGGGGATACGCATAAATACATTTATATTGTGAAGTCCTTTGGTGATGGCATTATCTTGCAGCTTTTTCCCGCGGTTCTGCCCGCGTTTTTGACGGTTATCACAGGAAGTAGCCTATGCCTTTTATCAAAAATCAAACTATCTGCATACCAAATTTCATCGGAATCGGTTTAGCAGTTATTGATTCCTCATACAAACTTTCACCCCCTTAAAGGTTGATTTCTGGGATAAAAATCTCATGTTCTTTCCCGAGACTCAACTATCTCTATATCAAATTATCATCTAAATCGGTGCAGCGGTGTATACGTGAAGAAGTAATAGACAGACAGACACATACACTTTCGCGTTTATAATGTTAGTATGGATTCGTATGGATGAGGGATGTTTAGGAACTGATGAGGAGTGTCCAACATCCATAAGTACTCCATACTCCATAAGTTCTTGTCACGATTTGGTGTTTTCGCTCGTAATATTCATTTTTTTATTAATTCCAGGTCGAATGCCACCCGTATTTAAATCAAAACAAGCTTTTTGAATTCTGTAAAGAATGGAACATAATAATAACCGCATATAGTCCCCTGGGCAGCCCCAAACGCCCTTGGGTAAAACCTGGCGAACTTTACTTGATGGAAGATCCAAAAGTGATAACTGTAGCAAAAAGGTGGAACAAAAGTCCAGCACAAGTTTTAATAAGGTACGAAAGTTCCATAGATCATAATTATAATTGTGGCTACAATAGGCTAGTTGGCTCAATTTGAAAACTTGGTTAATTATATACTTTAATAGCTTTTTTATCCCAATAAACCTATATTTTAAAGAAAAAGCAAAATTTACATTATGTGTTTTGTATTTAAAAAAAAACAATTTAAATTTCCCTTGAAAACACTGAATAGTGTCATGGCTTCTTGAATGACGTCACAGTCTTCGAAACAAAACTGTTTCCATCTGTGTCCAGTGTCAACTGAAACTGTATTAGGATGAGAAAATTTGCTAAAAACGAAAAACATTAAGAAGTAACCTGCTCTGTTGTATGAAAACGTCAACAACAACAATGATGTTTTGCGTGGCGTGACGTAACACTTTCTGAATGGTGCTCTCTGACAAGTGACTTAATGCCTATTTTGTTCGGATTTATTTAAAAAAAATATTAATAATCTTTAACTTTTATGAGAAATAGACTAGTTTTTTCTTATCTATGTCTCTTCATTTATAATTTGATACTATAAACCAAGCAATTTGTTATTATTGGACACAAGCGTATTGATGTTGAATACATTTTAGCACAAATTCGTGAAAGAGTGTCTCAATTAGATATAAACAATTTTTAGTCAGTTCGATTCCGACCTACCACTGCCCCGTGAGCCAGGGCGAGGTAATGACCCGTAGGGGTTTACACACAAAGAAAGGTATAATAAAAATTGAAAATAGTCCTAATTAAACATAGCATTACACATTACACAACATAGCTTAGTAGAAATTTATGCATATTCATATGAATATAAATAAATCGTGCAGAGCTCTTATATTCAGTGGAAAGCTGTTTACCTATTTATTAACAAAATAATGGTATCTAATAATAATACCGTCACTATACATTGTTGTTGGTTGACATATTAGATAACAATTAGATATTTTTTTGTGGTAGAAAAACTGCTTAGCGTGACGTAAATTTTTTCATTTAATGTTTTTGTTGGAATTTTAACAGTTTATTAGCGTACCTGTAACGAGTTTTTATATTACAACTTTTGCATTTTTTCAGTTTGTCTAACAGGGAGACGTTACAAAACGTTAATGACTACATAATATCTCACAGTTTTTTCATTTTCTCATTTCTTATATACGATGTATATAAGCTTAGTTTAAAATTATATACCTAAGCCGAGCTAAAAGGCGCGTATCCAGATAGAAAACATCAGTCCTTTATCTGTTTACCTATACGAGTTTTTATTGATTTGAAGTCTTAATAATTTTAATTTTGGTCATATGTGTGGTCACACTAAGCACAATGAATTGAATAGAATATTTAATAGCGTGTCGTTGAACGGAGGTCGCCTAGTGCATCTAAATTTAATTTAGTTACGAGACTCAATATTGATTCGGTCTAAAAGCAAAACTAAAATAACTATAGGAATTTCACTGTATGTTGCACTACTAATATATTTAATGCAATCTATGTGGCAGATTACCGTGTAGAAGCGTTGACAAATTTACTTAACAAAATATGTAGCCATAACTCTTTTGTTCTCTAAGATTATGGAATCCATAATCAACGGCCAGCTCCTCCTTTGCTTGCATGATCACCAGCTACTCAATGACCGACAATATGGTTTTCGCCGAGGTCGCTCAGCTAGTGATCTTCTCGTCTTTCTAACTCACCGGTGGCCACAGGCGATCGAGACCAAAGGAGAGGCTTTTGCGGTTGGTTTGGCCATAGCGAAGGCCTTTGTTCGGGTCTGGCATAAGGCGCTTCTCTCGAAGCTCCCTTCCTTTGGGCTTCCCGAGAAATTGTGTAATTGGGTCACCAGCTTCCTTGCGGACAGAAGCATTAAGGTCGTTGTCGACGGTGCATGCTCCGACTTGAAATTCGTAAATGCTGGTGTCCCACAAGGCTGTTTGCTATCACCCATACTGTTTCTTATGCATATCAATGACATGTTGCAAACTAGTAGCATCCATTGCTATGCAGATGATAGCACGGGAGATGTTCTTTATAGCGGCCGCCCCCACCATTTCTCGGGAAAACGTCATCGAGAGTCGAAACAAACTTGTGTCTGAAATTGAAACTTCCTTAGCGGAGGTTTCAGATTGGGGCCGACTAAATCTAGTCCAGTTTAACCTAAAAAAGACACAGGTATGTGCGTTCACCGCAAAAAAGATACCATTTGTCGTATCACCTCAGTTTTAGAGCACCTCCCTAACTGCCTCTGCCAGCATCGGAATCCTAGGCATCGACATATCGAGCGAAGTCCAGTTTCGGAGTCACTTGGAGGGCCACTATTGGCCTCGAAGAAGCTCGGTGTCCTGAACAGATCGAGACAGTATTTCACTCCGGCCCACCGCCTTTAGTTTCATAAGGCGCAAGTCCGGCCGCATATAGAATACTGTTCTCATCTCTATGCAGGGGTACCTCATTTCTAGCTTCTCCCTCTGGACCGCATCCAACGAAGAGTGACTCGAATCGTCGATAGCCCAAACATCTCCGATCGGCTCGATCCCTTGGCGTTACGTAGAGATGTGGCTTTGGATGTGGCTGGAGAGTGCTCCAAGGAATTGTTCGGACTAATACCAGCCGCAAATTTCCGCCATCGTTCCACACGGCAAAATTTCCATCCTCATAACCTGGATAGTTGGCGCTCCACTACTGTGCGCTTTTCGAGACACTTTTTGAGGTTGAGGTTATCGTCTGCGGTATTTCCGGACCGATACGACCTTCAAACCTTCAACAAAAGAGCGCACTCCTTCCTAAAAGGCCGGCAACGCGTTTGTGACTCCTGAGTTACAGACTTTCATGGGCGGCGATAGTCATTTTCCATCAGGTGACCCGTATGCTCGTCTGCCCCCTCTAACATAAAAAAAGCACAGAATTGAAATGTACTCTTCTTGTGCTTTAGCAGTTCAAGAGAGAATAGGAATGTCATATTTCTATTATTACAACAAAACACAAAATTTGTATAATAGTGAAGACTTATTATAGGACGGACTATTCGAAACTTAAAATAACTCCTTGAGACGAATCTTGTTTTTATACAATGTCTTTTTTTGACGAATCTTTAAACCACATATTCTGCACTTTATTTCTAGACGATTTGCAAAATATTCAGTGGTTTAGAACAAGGCATTTTTTTTTTTTTGCAGTCATAATACATTGACGTCAGGCGGCGATCAGCTGTATACGCGGCACGGTAATCATACGTTGCCGCTTTTATTTCACTCGAATCGAACAAAATTGGTTGATTATTACGTCATCAGGATGAAGGATGCGTTTTTAATTAGTTCATCCAGTAAGTACAGTCAGCCGGCTCTTAGCCACCGCGAATCGCTGAGTACGCTGTTCTGTGTCCTTGTAGATGCGCTGTCTTATTGCGTACGTCATAATACACGGCAATGGTGTGAACAGTTAATGTTATCGTGTGCGCATGACTTCGCGTTGTAACGAGTCCCGCTAATTTTATTTTGAAAAGTGAGATTAGTTTGTGTGTGTAGTGTAGTTTGTGTGAACTGAGTGCATTATCAGTCTTTTAATGTTATTGATTTATCGGTATACATCATGAATACTGCGAGTGACCTTCACAGCCGCAGAATATCCTGACATGATGTTAATTTCCCGGGAACTCTATCAAAACGCGACTTTAGCTTTACGGACAAACCGAAGAATGGAATAAATCGTATATGTCCTACAGACTGCCGAATTTTTGTAAGGGCGGTACAAAGGTTACGAGACAACCAAAATAAGTACTTTTTCAAGGAGTGATACGTACTGCCGGGTTCGAAGCTAGTCGAGCATTCCCGAAATAAACACGTAAATATAATCGTATTTTTATTAAATCGATTTTAAAAAGCGATTAAGTAGTAGTGAAATAAGTGAGATGAGTAGCAAGTAATAAGAATGTAGAGTTCGCCGGCTCGTCGCATCGGCGACGTCGCTTTGATGTCGCCGACATTGCGACGCTGCCATGTACAGTTCGCCGACTCATGTTAACAATTGTGTTCTAATTTGGCATTTATTTAATTGTATTTAATTTGTTCTAAATTTACATTTCTGTATTTTCGTATTTGTTTTTTTTTTTAATTTTAACCGACGTATATTGAACCGTGTTCTGTTATTTCATTTTTTGCGAATACTCTTAGCACACTTGTTATATGACGGAGGAGCAATGTCTAGGATTGCTTTTAAAAAGAGTGACGCACGTGTTTACAAGTTATAATGTTAAGTGTTGTGTTTAGATAATACGATTCTGCAGGTTTTTTTACTAGCAAACTAGCACTGACTAGCAAAACTTCTATTATAATCAATTAGAATCTACTTTAAATTAATCAAATTATTTTATTTAAGTTAGGTAGTTTGTAGTTTCTCCAACATATATGTAACTAGATGGTACAGGCGACTTCGTTTGCGTGGAATTTCAATAGCGCTGCTTTACTGGGTTCGATGCCCGGACCGGTAAAAAAGATTTTATGAGAGGAAAAATAGCCTAAGTTATACCTTATATAGACAGTATCTGGTAGTAAAATATTTTAAAAATCGGTACAGCCGTTTAGAGGATTACGGGAACAAACAGACAGACAAAAAAAAACTGGTTTTTATTCATAGGTATCGTGCAAATAAAAGTGTGAGCATGAAAAAACCCTATTATTTTAACATTACAAACAGACACTTCAATTTCATTTATTTGTATAGATAGATAAATGATTTGAAGGTTTATAAATTGTACGGCATATGTAATAATAGCAAAGTAATAGGCTAATTTTGTCAAATAAATGAACTAAGCTTTAACAAATATAAACTATTTTAAATTATAAACATACTACAAAAGCAATCACACTGACTGACTTGTTGGTTTAGTTTGAATCCAGGACAAACAATTGTGTGATACAGGCACTGTCTAGTTTTGAATCGGACGTGTACGTACGACGTATGTGGAATATGTGTGTTAAGTTACTATTATTAATATTATATTAAGAATAAATATTTATTGTGTAAAATATGTATTAGCGAATGTAAAAAAACCAAATGGTTAACCTTATTGATTGCATAACTTTACTTTTGTATAGCAACTGAAAATGAGCATAATTATTGTACAGAGCTAAATAAATTATCGTGTCAGATATCATAGTTCTAAAGATACCATAATTATTTTATTTCTTTTGTATGTATATAGATATTAAGTGTCTAGATCTCTTTTTGAATTTAGATCTTTGATAAGTTAAACTTTTATAACATTCTTTTTATTATACTAAATTAATACACAGCAAGTACATACTTACACAGTATTATAGGTAATTATATTTTTTATAATTAATAAGAAATGGTAGGAAAGGAGATAAAGCGATGCTCACACAACTAACCAAGATTGTGGAATAAGTATGATTTATGTAAGTACATATTGCACCTTTTCACGATTCACATAATAAAACTTTCGAAATAAGGCTTTAACGCTATTCTAAACATTCAAACATTAGAGTTAACGCTTTTATTGTGGCCAACTAATTACTAAATTACATATTATCGTCGTGGCTGTCAACATGAAGGATGGTTTTGGGTAATGAAACACTACATGATGGAAAAGGTGCACTACAGACACATTTAGACACCAATATAAATCTACACTTCTTGGGTTGATTGGTTGGTGTGGCTTACTGGGAGTGGTGTTGTATAAACTGGTTGATCGCGCCATGTGTAATGTTTGATTACCTTACTTTTCACTTAGCCTTTTCGATAGATGCACATTAATTTACATGTCCACATATTCTGTAAAAATATGTAGACCGTGTTACTCTGAAAATATGGAACTTTGTTGTAATTATGTTTTATTTTATATTCAATAAATGATTTATATTATAAATACCATTATTATTGGTATACCGATTGTGAGGAGTAGTATTGATTCGACGATGATCAAAGACGAAGCTTTCACACCATTTTTTGTATTTGTATTAAAAGCCCATTTAATCTGGGTTTAGATAGCTGTGTTTCATTTATCGTAGAATAATTTTTTTAATATAATATATTTGAGATTATACAAATCTATTGTTATGTATTCTTAATATAAAATCATATTTTAGGTGTACTGGAAATAACGATCTTGTGAAAGTGTTGTTTATTTCTCTTAAGACTTATTGAATGAAAAAGTCACCTGTTCTTATAACTTAACTTATGGAAGTAGATGGGAATGAAATATTTCGTTACAATCGAAGAGTGTATTCTTGAGGATAAGAACAGAAAATTACATGATACTTACGAATAATATTATTATTCGTAGCATGTTACTAAGTAATGACAATGACGCTTTTGACTATGATCTGGATTTAATAAGATGCCGTAAATGCCAATAAAAAACAGAATCCGCATAGGATCATTCGCAGCTGTCTGTCCACATAGAATGTAGTGCAAATATTAAATACTATGAGTCAAATATGTAAAGTAAATAAACTAACTTTAAATATTTTCGATGAAATCACGAATTCAAAAACAAATGACTGTCCCATGTGCTTTCATGTCATATGTACTCGTGTCAATGAAAAGAAAATATTTAACTTAGTTCTTCCAGTTCCAGTTCGTTCCAGATGCAAAATAGATTGAACTTACATATGTCACAAAAATCTCATTTATCAAATTTTTTTAAGCGATTGTAATTTTTTTGCAAAATTGTTGTTGTTACTGTGTTATTGCAGATACCAAATAGAAAGAGGGATTATCGTGATACCCAAATCGGCGTCTAAAACTCGCATAGAGGAGAACTTCAAGGTTTGGGATTTCCAGCTGACAAAAGATGACATTGATCTTCTGGACAGTTTAGATTGTAGCTGTCGCTTTATACCACAATCAGAGTAAGAAACTTTTATTTTATACTGACCTTTCATTGTTATTTATGGAAAATTAGACGGTGACCATTTTTTTATTTACCTTTTTTTTATTACAAATATTTTTTTGCATATCACTTGATGACCTCTAGGACTCTTTGCTCACTGCAAATTCACTATAATGAATTCAATAACTTGTTGGACAATAGTGAACGTCAATAAAGAAACGAATGATGATAGTTATATCATCATAAAATAATAAAAAAAAGTGAATTTTCAGCTCCCGTAACAACTTTTGACTTGGGTGAAGAATATTATTCCTTTTGATCCAATTTTTATGGCAGAAAAATAGCTTACAGGGTTCTAAGTTATTGATATATTGCTAAAAGATGTATAAAGGACAACAGATATAAGCTTTTTATATTTATCAATGTTTTAACTATCTTATAAACACGAGTGCTTAATTCAACCGAGTGCGACCGTATATTACAAGACATTTACGTGATTTGTCAACAGATTTTGTTTAGATCCTTTTTGTTATTGGCTTTGCTCTGTTTGCAAAATTCTATATATGATTTAAAATCTATATATAATCTATCTATCTATCTTTCTATATATATTTTATAAAAGTCCCTTAATATCTAACACTTTGATTTCCTATTACAATAAGGAATTCCGCATATTCTCAAACAGTTTCTTGCTTATTGGAAATTGATAACCACTTGTCATGTATTTTATTTTAGAATTTAGTAAAATGTAAAGTTACGTTTATACATATATGGACACGATAGTCTACTTAATTAGATGTCCATATACCCACAATCTTATAACAATGTAATTAAAATAAAAAGAGATATAGTTATGAACGCTTTTAGAAAGTACAAAATTAAAATCCATTGTAAATTTAACAACTCCGTCCGTCCCTAGATAGAGTGCACATTATGATGTTACTTTGATGTTTAAAACCTTTTTGAACTTCAAAAATATCCATGCAATTCACTAGGGATGAAAATTAGCAGATTCGTTTATCAAGTTTTCTTACTGGCTAAAAAGTTTCATAGCCCCACGGGGAGGCGGTTCAGTGACAATCACACAAATAGACCTTTACATTTACAATATTGCTAGCTGTTGCTTACGACTTGGCGCACTTGGATTAGAAATTAAATATTTAGCGACGCGTATGTTGGGTTTTATGTAAAAAAAAAAGAATGTTTTTGGTATATATTTAGGTATTCACTGCGGATTAACTTGTGCTATGAAATACAATCAAATTCAAAATAAATTGCGTCCATTCAAGGTTTAACATGTATGTCTAAGATTGTATATGTTTTAATGTAATTTGACAATAGTATATACATATGTAATACGTGTTTTTTTTTATTTATACCTACTTTTTCTTTTCTTTGTATCATTCAAAGGTTGAGTTGGCACCGAATGTTATAATTAATGAAAACATGAAGAAGCACTGTTTGGAAAGTTGAATCTGAAATAAATTTTAATCACAAATAAACTTTATTGTACGTTATTAAAATATTGGTCAGATTGTTAACACGGTTTTTAATCATCATTATAGGGACCAATAATATTCTTGTTAAAAGAGCTCCGAGTTATGAGATGCAAGATTCTAAGTTTTACGGTAACGTTTGAATTTATGATCCATTATTATTGCTCATTACCAACTCAATCTTCATAGAATAAGATATTTTATTAATTAGAGTTTTTTTTTTACAGAGGGCGTGCACATAAGGATCATCCTTTCTCTAATCCTGCCGTCATCTTCTAAAAATTATCTGACAATTTAATGAAATTAAACCGTAGAATTGCATTTTTTTAAGTGTAATTAATGCCTACCTACCTTCAGATCCCGTACCTGTCTCCGTCTTGTGACTGGACAGGAAAATAATGTTAACATGAAGTCCAATTTTGATATGGAGCAACTTTTAAAAACTTAACGGAGCATTTAGTATGACATAACAAAACTTTAATTAAGTACTTTCATTATGCCGCAAATTCAAAACAGCCGAGCTTTCTTTTAGTACGTGTTGAATGTTATGTGGTATGAACGTACCTAACATTTATACCACAAAGACCTTCGCAATTGTTCATAGCCCTTTATGCAATTAAAAGGTTCAGTTGTTTGGCGAATACCTACGTGTGTTTGAGTACTCCGATTTCAGCCACACTCTCGTTGAGGGTGGACTTGTAAAAGACCTTTGAATTCGTGTGGGTCAAGCAATATCCGGCCAAACAACGATCACTGCGTGAGGTCCCACTAAACCTGTCAGACGCTTGATTTCGTTAGACTGTTCACACTCCTTCACCCTGTCTTGTCTATTTCGGAAAATAGGTGTACGTATCGAAACTGGTCACAAGAGTAGTCACGACTTTAATCTTCGTGATTGATACTCGTAAAGGGCACGTAGTACTAAGCGTTTGTGTGCGTGTTGAAAGGTTTTAAATTGTCTCTTTATATAAAAATATCAAAAAATTGTTTATAGGAATAGGTAGTTACCGATTTAGTAACTGACAAAAAATCACATTTCAAATTACACCGCATGCAAGTTCCTGTTTGTTATGATTATACCTACACCGAAACAAAAGGCAGATGATATTTTCGCTAGAAATATAATTTTCCTCTTGCGACGATACTTGCCGCAATCACAATGCATCGTGCCCGCCATGACTTCTTAAATAATGTTACATTTATTCTATTGTGACTGTGTTCTATTATTTGAGAAGGAACTTAACTATAAAATTTGAGTTAAAAATTGTGAGTAAGTAAATTAGTGTAGTAAGTAGAGATAATGCCGGCAAAATAATGCCGGCAGATTGTTTTAGCTTCTAGTTGTGTAGGGAATTGCGAAGTATCGATTTTATCCTTCACCGGAACAGAGGTCACGCATTTTACCTAAGCCTAGTAGGTATATCCTTCTAAGCAAGGACGACCTAACGAATTTTAAACAAGATTATCCTATTTTCCACAAACTAGTTTTACAAACATTATTTTTCTTTTACAGCCGTAAATAGTAATAACGATATCTTTTCATAAAGGTCTAGCTTATTTAGACAGCTGTTCTCTAGTAGATTCTAAGGGATTAAGCGCAAACTAATTACGATTCGCAGTTACAGTGCCACCAACTTATCTGTTCAGTAGACAAAATCGGAACTAAATCTGCGTCAATCTGCGTGTCAGTTTACAAGGTGTGGGTGCTCTCTGTGTTTATCATTTGATTTTATTATTAAAACTACAATTAAAATGCCGAAAGCTCTTAAAAGTGATGCTAGAGTTATTATTTTAAAAGTTTTATCTTTTATGAACGAAGAAAAACGCCTCCAATCTCCAAAAATACCATTTGAAAAAGTGCCACAACGTGTTGCTGCCGCTACAGGTTAGTGTTATAGTCTAAGGACAGTAAAATTTCCCACTTAAATTATTTTAATATTCAGCTTATGTTTCATATTTTATTGTCTATATATATCCACAAAAAATTAGAAATAAAAATGATACGTCGCCCCCACTACTACTAACTAGTGCACCATTTTACTATTCTTTATTTTCATAAACGTTAAACGTATACCTACATTGTGTTCACTGTTTATTCCACCCGAATAAATAAAAAAATAACATTATTTCTTAAGTGTGATGAGCCACTTTTTGTTACAGGTGTTAGTGAGCGATTTGTTTATAAATTAATGAATGAAGAAAAACGAGCTGAAGAAACTAATACTAAAATATGTACACCTGGTAAAAACAGGGAAAGGAAAACAGGGAAACTAGAAGTTGATGACTTTGATATTGGTGTGATTAGGAGAAAAACCCATGAATTTTATTCAGTAAAAAAAGAAATTCCTTCTGTAACCAAGCTATTGAACATTTTAAGAGAAGATATCAATTTCCAGGGGAAACTGATATCACGACCACAATTATTTTTATAAAATATAATGTAACTAGTTTGGTATAATAAATCGTATTATCTGTCTGCAAAACAAAATATTTCTTTCTTTTCAACTAATTTATAAATTATATAGTTAATTAATAAACTCCGATCAATATTTAAAATTACAGCTCACGTGATTTCGTATGTTTCAAATACCCTAAACTCCTGATAATTTTTTTAAATAGCAACACCTATCGCTCCAGTAGCGACGCCGTCTACTGAACAGATAAGTTGGTGGCACTATAATGACTTTTCCTCGCCTAACTGTGTGTTAAAATACTTTTCTTGGATAAATAATTATAATTGTAAACTGAAATCCAACACACTTATTAAGATTGTAGGATATGAATTTGTTTGAATGAATATCAAAAGGCATGTCGAATTACTTTAGTCTGAGAAGATTTGTTTTACAAGAGTAGGTAAATTTAATTTGAAACCTGAAATCGCAATCTGCCATAACGCTAGCAAGAAATACGTAGTAGTAAGTAGAAACGTACCACCAATACTTAGATTCAAAACTTGAAAATTTCTTATTTATTTTTATTATTTAAATTACTGTCGTTTGTGCATTAAGAAAAATTGGAGTAATTTAGTGCATCGCATCAATCATCTACTAAAAAGTTATGTAAAAGCAATATGAGTATAACCTTTATTAATTTAAATAATTATTAGGATACTTAAGATGTTTATTAAGACAAAGAATTCTTTGTCTTAATAAACATAATAAGTATATTATGAATGATATAATTCTAAGTAATCTATGTATTTTTTTTATAAAATGTATTAAACGGCCGAAGCAAATTCATTTAGATAATAGGCTGTGACGAAGTTGAAATGAAATGTAATTTTGTAAATTGTACATCACTGTGCGAACGCTGCGGGGTTTCTTTTGTACGAATGTACCTTCGTACTAAAAGGTCGGTTTATTTATGCATTTCTCTATTCACAAAATAAACATATTGTATATACGAGTATATGTATGTATTTACTAAAAAAGTATATAAGTATTCTATCAGTCAATCTAGCTTTCACAGTACAAGCTCTGCTTAGTTTGAGATTGATGACGTTGTGTCAGATGTCCGAAAATATTTATATTTAGATAATATTTGATAATAGATAATTTAATAATATTAATTATATTTGGATAGATAATAATCTATCTAAATATGTTTCGTTAGTGAAATCAATCATGTATGAGTACGCCTAATTCTCATTGACCGAGCGAACTTTAGATGCTCCCCGAGGAACGGAGGAACGTAGCTATTTAAGTTTATTCTGTTAGGGTTAGTGGAGTCGCTATTATACCAAATATGCCAATAATCTGTGAATAACCTGAAATACATGTTATTACTAAACACCACTTTAAAAACTAGTAGTCAGTGTATGTAAACCTTTAAAATTGAAAAGATACTAATTTTAAGTTGTCAGTTAAAAAAGTACCGTAAAATTACTCGAAAATGTGTTTGCACTAGACGAACTAACTGTATTAAAGGGAGCAAAAATAAAAGCAAGCCTTAGGTATATAGGGTTACTGGTTATGTCGACCTAGATACTTTAGGAAGTTGTAGTTGTTATCATTGCTGATTGATTTGAAATATCATATCGGAAATCCAACCATTTTCAAGATATTGGAATTTAAATTTTTATCAAAATTACCAAAATTTTGGCTAATACAATTTCAATTTTTTTTAGAACCGCTTTTTTTGTACTCTTTTTGTGTAGTTGACATATTGTTTTATAATTTCTATTACCAAAATTGTATTACTAGGCCGAAGTAAATGGTTGATCACAGCTAGTATAAATTATAATAATAATAGCTATATTAATTTATTATAATAGCTTAATAGCAATATTCCTGAACAATATCCAAGTGCTAAATATTATCAAACTTAGTTTTCGAGCGCTATTTGCAACTGCTCTCCGTTTGTGCGTTTTGGTTTCGGTAAAACTAGTTAGTGAGGAGTATAAGGCAGGGCGTAATAAGCAGACTTTGCACGATTCACTGTTACTTCATTTTCCTTCATTTCGTGCGCTATGTATTTGCAAGATCATCACGAGAAGGATCTAACGTATCTTTTTTTTTAATGGGAGAAATAAACACACATACAAAGTTGGTTTGTAGCAGTAATTACTCTTCTGTTACATCGTCTAGCTTGTCAATACTATAATAGTTTTTAATATATACAGTTTGAGCGTATGCATCAAAACCTAATAAGGTATTTCATGCTCTCACAAAAAGGAATTATTTTTTTAAAAGTAATATTGTACCTACTGTCCCGTGTGGTTACGGATTGAGAATACAGAGTGTCACCACCCCTATTCATCCCGAGGGTCTCGTAAGAGCCGACTAAGGGAGTAAACTACGCAGAACGACCACTGCAACTGCAAAGAGAAGGAAATCTTGAAACAAACCCTTTTTTTTTTTAACGTGTGGAAATCCCCTCGGACCGTCACCCCTCCGGGGTTTGCGGCGGGGTGGTGTGTCGGACTCGGACCGACTAAAACCACACGGTGTGCCACTCTGCGCCTGTAACAGGAGGGATCCGGGAACAGCTGTTGTTAAGACATCCGGACCCCTCCTAGCGCCAGCCCGCTCCTGGTGCGGGCTCCGTCTCAATATTTTTTCCTCTCTTTAGGCGACGTCCGGCACACGCGGACGCCGCCCCCTCGCGGTTTTCCAAACTAATGCGGGTGGAGGGGAAACCCACCCCGTCCACCCGCGGCCACACTCAAGGCGGCATGAGGCGGTGATAGGCGCGCCTCCGCCGCCCGGTTCGCCGGCGGCGGATCGGGTCCGAGTGGAGGTCGTCCTCCCGGGCCTTCTCCGCCGCCTCCTTCTGCGAAA